CGTCCTGCAGAGAGCTCCTTGAGGCCAGAAATAGTGTTTTCTCCATCTTGTGTCCTCAGCCCCTTGTCATGGGCACATTCTGTAAACGGATAAATTCTGGTTGAATGAAGGAGTGCACGAGGGATGGTGCTGCCCTAGATCCTTCTACCTGACAACCCGACCAAAAGTGGCCATTGAGGCCTGTTCTCTGCTGGGCACTGAGCCAGGTGTTCTACACGCTCCCTTCTTCATACCCCTCCTCACTCGCTGCCCTCGCTCCTCCTTCTCCCCAGCTGTGAGGTTTTACTCTCCCCTGGCTGCCTCAGCCTCGGCTGCCCCCCTCCAGTTCTTAATGTGTTATAGATCTCTAGTCCAGCTGCTCTTATCCAACCACAGGGCATGCTGCTTGCTGAGAATTTATAGGCCCAATCTCACTGAACTCTCATAACAACCCTGTGAGGTGGGCATATTATTATCTGAGGAAACCAAGCCCTAAGAATTTCAGTGATGGGTTCAGAATTACATCTCTAATAGTAGGGCTGAGATTTGAACCCAGGTGTGTACACCCACTAGACCACACTCCATACATTCCAAACTCACAAATCACGTGCCAGATGCCAGGGGTGCCTGTTTGTTGAAAGGGAAGAGGAAAAAGTGGAACTTGCCCTTCAGCCTGTTCATCTTAGTGTTTAGTCTCCCAGAATGTTACTCCCATGCACATAGGTCCACAGGCCAGAAACCTGGCAGTCACCTGGGTCACTCCCTCTACCTCACTCTACCTGCATCCCTCCCCAAACACATCCAATCCCAAAACCAGTTTTCTCCATTCTGTCTCTAAATATCCCTCAACTCCTTCCACTTCTCCACATTCCCTTTTGCCACTGAGTTCCAGGCTCCATCATCTCTCACTACAATGGCCTCCCAACTTGGTCTCTCCTCCGTCGTCTGGCCTTTCATCCAAGCACAGTCACAATGGTCCCTCTAAAACACAAATGATGGAGGTTTGAGTCCACCCAGAGGCGATATCACCCTATTGCTTAAAATCCTTCAGCGGCTTCCCACCATTTTGTAATTGCCTGTTCACTTGACTCTACCTCAGTAGACAGTATCATCAAATTGTTCATTCTTTTATTAATTGGACAAAGATGTACTGGGAACAACAACAACAACAACCTGGTACCGTTTAGTCGATCCCGACTCATATCGTAGCGACCCTGTAGGACAAAGCAGAACTGCCTCATAGAACTTCCAAGGAGCAGCTGGTAGATTCAAATTGCCAACATTTTGGTTAGCAGCCAAGCTCTGAACCACTGCGCCACCAGGATTCCTAAATGTATTGAGTAGTTGTTAATTATGTGCCAGGCACGATACGGACCTGGACCTTGTCCTCGAGAACAGGAATCGTATGTAATTCTACAGAGGTAGGCTCAAAAACGTTTGTTGAACGAACAAGTGAAAGCGCGAACGACGGAACAAACGAACGAACGAAGAACCCCGACTGGGAGAGCCCGAGTGCCGCACAGCCTTCTGGGATTCGTAGTCCCCTGGTTACAGCCTCTCTCTATGGCGCAGGCGTACCCAGATTGAAGTCACTTTGCTATTAATGCGCATGATCCGGAAGGCGGGGTGGGAGAACTGCGCATGTCTAGAGGCGCGGGGTGAGGCTGAAAAGGGGACGCCTGCGGAGGTGGGGATTTGGTTACATCGGGTAGACTCGGGGTGAGCTCTGCCGGCTGCGAGGATGGCGGGGCGGGGGAAGCTCATCGCGGTGATCGGAGACGAGGACACGGTGACTGGCTTCCTGCTGGGTGGCATAGGGGAGCTTAACAAGAACCGCCATCCAAATTTCCTGGTGGTGGAAAAGGATACAACCCTCAATGAGATCGAAGACACTTTCCGGTACGGTGGGCCGCGAGGCCTGGACGGGGCATCCGCGCCCACGGCCTGGCGGGCACGGGGAGAGGGCGGAGGCGGCCCAGGGGTGGGCGAGGGCCTGCGCGGGGATTGGCAGACCTGGCCGAGGTTTCACACCCCACCTTGGGGGTCCAGGAAGTCCAAACACCCCTTCGGACCGGAGGCCTCTGCCCTCCCTTCGCTCCTTTTGGGTTCGGTTGTGCCGTGGCAGTGTCTGCTGCCACAGGCTAGCCCCTCACATGACGGTGTGTCAGGAAAGGAGGGGAGAAGAGCTCATGACGGGCGCCGGGCGCTGTCTTTCGGCCCAGCCTGTCCCTGCTATAGCTGGGCCTCTGGAGCGCTCAGTCCCTTCAGGGCCTGCCTCAGCGCCTCTTTAGGGAGTCCCCCACGATCATCGTAGAGCAGGTTCCTACCCTTTTTCGAGTTTGTCCCAAAGGAACCACACACTCAGTGACCATCTTGGCAGTGTGCTCGGGCTTTTTTGTACTTTCATCTCCATTACGGGCTCGTAGTTATCCTGAAACGTAGGCGTATTCCTACACACAATAAAAGAAAAAACCCAAACCCGTTACCGTCGAGTTGATTCCGACTCATAGCGACCCTATAGGGACAGAGTAGAACTCCCCATAGAGTTTCCAAGGAGCACCTGGTGGATTCAAACTGCCAACTTTTTGGTTAGCAGCCATAGCACTTAACCACTATGCCACCAGGGTTTCCAGGCTTCCCTGGTCTTGTGCATAGTGGTCAGAATATCAGGAGTGTGTCCGCCGTCCTGCTAAGACCTTGGGCAGCTCTTGTACTTGAAGCCCTCATTTCCTGCCCTGGCTTGAAAGTGATAGCTTCAAGTGTGGGTGCAAACCGGCCCTTTAGTCCCGGAGGTGTCCTGGTGACTAGAATTGGGGATGCCAGCCTCCTGTTCTTCCCTCACTCCTTCTCTGGGGTCCCTGCACCAAGTCTCAGGAGTAAACCACTCCTGTTCCCTCCTGAACAGCCCAGCCCAGAGCTGTGGCTGAGACTGGTTCCTGCTGCCTGGAGTCTGACAGACCCTGACAGGGGAGGAGCTATCTGCTGACTTCTAGGCAGTCTGGTAAAGTGACTCCAGTTGTCATGAAGGAGGACAAACTTTACTCCTAGGGTTTTCCATGTTTCCAACCAAACGGGATTAGAAATCATTAAGTCTAACCTAGCCCAGTGCCTGGCACATTACTGACTGGATAAATTAATGTAATGTCTGGGTGGGTGACCACAAGAAAGGAGGATCCCAATGTCAGGTTGAATCTGTGTGGAAACTGTGATTCCTTCATTTTTAATTTTCCTCTTCCTATTTTGTGTTCTTGGCTCATGCCAAAATTCCACTCTGACCCATCCCTGCCCTCATCAGCACAGACCATGAGACCTTTTGTGGACTCATCATCCCTTTTTTTTAAAAATTTAATTGGTTTTCCTTTGAAAAGTTAATGTGTTCATATGGTTTGCAAGTTGATATTAACAACATACACATCGAGAGGTCTTTCTCACCCATGTCCTCTTTCAGCTCATTACCCGCCCGATAGATGACCACTTTGTTTCTTCCTTATCTTTCCGGTATTTTTTATGTGAATACAAGGGAATACACATCTATGTTCTTAACCTCCCCCTTTCTTACGCAGTGTGTCCCTGGGTGGTGCAAACAGCTAACACAGTTATCTGCTAAGCAAAAGGTTGGAGATCAAGTCTGCCCAGAGCTGCCTTGCCGCTGAAAACCCTATGGAGCACAGTTCTACTCTGACATATGTCAGAATGCCATGAGTCAGAATCGACTCGATAGCAGCTCGTGTTTTCTTACACAGGGCAGCACATTGTATACACTGGCTTGCACCCTGAAGCCTTCCCAGCAGGAAGATAGAACTCTGACAGACATGGCCCTTAGCTTTCGAATGAAACTGATTCTTGACAGAATTGAGAGTGTTTAACATGGCGATCTTTTCCCTTGTCCTTTGCACTCCCTGGGTTATTAGCTTCCACAGCCCGGCCCCACCAACCCAGAATGGGCTGCATGGGCAGCAGAGAGAGACCCTCAGAGCTGTTTCCTCATCTCTCCCAACAGGCAGTTTCTAAACCGAGATGATATCGGCATCATCCTCATCAACCAGTACATCGCTGAAATGGTGCGGCATGCACTGGACGCCCACCAGCGCTCCATCCCAGCTGTCCTGGAGATTCCATCCAAGGAGCACCCCTATGATGCCACCAAGGACTCCATCCTGCGCAGAGCCAAGGGCATGTTCACTGCTGAAGACCTGCGCTAGGGTTGCTCCCAGCCCTCCAGCTCCGCCTTCATGTCCGGGCTTCTCCCCAGCCTTGTCATCCACCTTCTGTGCGTTCCGAGCCTCTGATTTCCAACTCCCTGCCCATTCCCACTCCAGAGAGGCTGGGTGAAGTGCTTGAAGGTTGCTGGAGATCTGGCATTAAAACCAAGGCTGGCGAGGGAGTGGGAAACCTGACCATCTTCTCTCCCCCTCCACTACCTCTTCTCTGTGCTCTTATGCAGTGTCATTGTTGATGTTAAATTAAAGTAATATTCTTGCTTCTCTCTAAGCTGTGGGCTGGTGCTAGGAAGGACATGTGTGGGTGAGGCTGTTGGGGGAGATCGGACTGGCAGGGCTGAAAAAGCTGCTAAAGATGCAGGCATGGCAGCGTTAGGCCAGGAAGATTGTGCCAGAAGGCCATAGTTCAAGGACTGGTCCCCTGAATCAAAGACCAGCTCTGTGGGCAGGATGAAGGAGACATAAGCCCAGGCTCCCCTTCTTCAGTCTGCACTGGGCTGGGATGGGAGTCTGGCCTCAAGGGACCAAAGCAGAAAATACAGGACACCTGGAAGTCTGTGATACTAGACTGAGCCTGGGTCCTGCAAGAGGTCTGGAGGGTCAGAGCTCTTACTGCCTATGGGCCCTGGCCTGAGGCTGCCTCAGGAAGCAGGAAACATGAGCTCACTGAGGGCATGGCAGGTAGAACCCTGGCCCTGTGTGAGGTGAGGCTTGGTTGCCAGGTGACTGTCCTGGGGCAGCTGTCAGCAGGAAAGCCTCCGTTCGCTCTGCTCCCCCCGGTACCACTCCTTCCCTGCCACCATGTCACGCCAACTCAACATGGACACACTGCGGCAAAACTTCTGGAAGGAGGAGTATCTGAGGGAGAAGATGTTGCGCTGTGAATGGTACCGCAAGTATGGGTCGATGGTGAAAGCCAAGCAGAAGGCTAAGGCTGCGGCCCGCCTCCCTCTCAAACTGCCCGCCCTGTACCCCCAAGCCCCACTCTTACCTGCACCTGCCCCCAAAGCAGCCCCTTCCAGGGCCCCCAGCCCCGTCCAGGAGGCTCCTATTCAGTCAGAAATGTGCCCAGTACTGCCTGCCATCCGGGCCCTGCTGTATGAAGGCATCTCCCACGACTCTCAGGGGCGCCGCCGCTACCTCAACACCCGAAAACTGGACTTGCCAGAGAAGCGCTACCTCTTCCCCATCACCACCAACTTCACATATGGCTGGCAGCTGGGTGAGCCCCAACCTCCAGATATTACTCATCTAACAAACACAGAGCACCTGCTACGGGCCAGGCAATGCTTGGCATGAGGCAATGGGACATGGCCCTTATGTGGCACAGACATTTTGTGGAGGGGCCAGACCATAGACAGCAAGGAAATGACCCAGACGGACAAGTTCCATGACGATACTAGGGAGTGACGGTCAGGTGCCTCTGTCAGTTGGATTATAGGGAAAGGCCTCTGGGGAGATGGTGTTTAGGCTGAGACCTACCTGGTAAGGAGGAGTTTAGATTTGATTCTGAGTACAGAAGGAGGATTTTAAGCAGGTGAGTGATACTGGTCACTTTTTAAAAAATCACCCTGGCTGGTCTGTTAAGTAGTGGGTATTTCAGGGAAAAGAGTAGAAGCTGGCAGATGAGCTAGGCATCTGTTAAATTTATCCAGACGAGATGAGGATGGCTGGGGCTAGGGTGGCTAGCACTGGAGCTGAGAAATGGAGTCAGGGTATGTTTTGGAGGAAGAACCAGTGGAACTGACATGTACTGAATGTGAGAGGAAGGGAAAAAGCAGTCAATGACGGTGCCCAGGTTTCTGGCTGGAGCAGCTGCAACAGGGTAGACTGGGAGAGGAGCAGGGCTGGAAACGGTGAAGATGGATCAGTTTGGGCCACATTATGAGGTGTTAGGCGGCTGTGTAAGTCTGGTCTCAGGAAAACCATAGACGCTGAGAATGCAAATTCCAAAGTCATCAGAATATAAACCAAAACCAAACCAGTTGCCCTTGAGTTGATTCTGACTCATGTCGATCCCAGGCATGTCAGAGTAGAACTGTGTTCCATAGGTTTTCAGTGGCTGACTTTTCAGAAGTAGATCACCCGGTCTTCCTTTTGAAGCACCTTGGGGTGGACTTGAACCTGTACTTGGTTAGCAGCCAAGTGCATTAACCGTTAGCACCACCCAGGAGCTCCCATCAAAATATAGGTGGTGATTAATTAAAGTCATGAGGTTGGGTGGGGCCAGCTCTGGAGCACAAGCTGTTGGAATTTGGCAAGAGGGGAGGCAGGGAGCACAGAGCCAGAGGCAGGTAGGGAGATGGTGTTGGCGGGAAGACTGTCCCTCTGAACTGTCTGTTTTTGCTGTGAGGCTCAGTCAAGGTCATTAGCTGGGAGAGAGAGGAGCAGGAGAGTGGAGCAGTTTGAGATGAGGAGTAAAAATGTGGGAAAAGGTACATGCCGGGAGTGCCCGGGGTGGCTGGTGCTCAATGTCCCTTTGCTCCCTGTGGTCATGAGTTTAAAGTGAGACCAGTTACTCATTCAGGTGTCTTTCTCCAGCTGCTTGAATGCAGATGCAGAAAAGGTGGATGGTTGGGAATAACTACAGCTGAGGTTTTGCCAAGCAAAGTTCCCCCACTTTCCCCAGGGCCCTAATATGGGAGTAAGGGGAGCTACTTGCCAACAAAAGCAGGAGGCAAGCCCCAGAAAGGCAGCAGGGCAGAAAGAAGCCCATCTCCCAGACAAGCCTAGCTGTGTCTGCCTCTGTGACAGGAAGGGCTGGGTCCCCCCAGGCAGAGAACCCAGAGGCTGAGGATGGGGGCAGTGGTGGCGGATGGCTGTCCATGACTTGGCCATAGACTCTGCTTTATCCGGGCACCCAGCCAGCTCCCTGTACTTCCCTGCAGCCCTTTTTCCTCAAAAGAACTTCTTTTTACTTCACATTTGTGGATACAACACAGGCAGGTTCCTAGGGCTATGCATGCACAAAGTCAGGACCCCCTGCTCCTGAGTTCCTTTCCCAGGAACCCATTCCTGGCCTCTGCCGTCTCTTTCCAGGACCCCCAGTGAAGCAAGAACTGGTCTCCTGCAAGATGTGCCGCATCGATTCCTTCTTCCGCAAGAACGGCGTGTTTGCACTGCTGGACCCCCGCGACCTGGCCCTCTGACCTTGAATCAGCAGGACAGGTGGACTCGGGAAGGGAAGAAGAAATGACAAGCTTCCTGGTGAGGCGAAGCTGCTGTGTCTGTCTCTGGCTCGCCGGGTCCTGAGGCTGCATTCTGCGCCTTTCTGAAGCTCCCTCCGACCTGCACTTGCTGACCTGCAGGTGGCCCTCTCGCTTTTTCCTTAACCCCCTACTCCTCAGTCACCCCTTGGAGGATCCAGGGTTGACTAAAGGGGTACTGGGGAGGGTGAGCATTACTCTCCAGGAGCAGGTTCCTCGGCACCAGGGGGCCACAGCAGCTCTTGGAAGTTCTGGGTGTTCCTGGGGGGAGAGTAGCCTGTCATCACAGATGCCAGGGAGAGGGCTGCCCCTCGCCCCCGCCCGACCACCCCCTCAGCTGGCCACGAGGGCCCGCAGCCGCCCAGTCCTCTCCCGGTGCACCTGCTGCAGCTGCTCCCGCAGGGCGCGCCGCTACCCCGCCGCGTCCTCCTAGGCGGAGCCGAGCGCTGAGCGCCTCCTCCCACCCACAGGGCGGCCCCCGCCCCCCACCCCGGACAGGATGGTGGTGACCTCATCGCCCTCCTCGGGGGCTTGCCTGTGGCGGTAGCTGAGCGGGGCTAGGGGGTGGCCCCAGGGGGTGAACCCAGGAGTGGCGGCTCCTAGCCATGCAGAGGCGTTCCAGGACCTGGGGGTGGGGCGGCTGTGAGCGGGCCCGGCCGCGCCCTCCGCGTCCTGCTGGCCAGGCCGGCCCGGCCCTGACCCCCGCCAGGCCCCGCCCCGAGCCCGCCCCCCAGGCAAGCCAGGCCCCGCCCCGTCGCGCACCTGGAGCCGCTGCTGGTCGCGGTCTTGCTGCTGCCGGCGTCGGGCCACGAGGTGCAGTTCCACCAGCCGCTGCAGCGCCGTCTCTCGCTGCGCCACGCTCACACCCGCCGCCGCCATCTCGCTGTCCTGGGGCCGGGCCCACCCGGCTTTCGACGGCTTGGAGACCTGGGCCCTCCGCTCCCCGAGGGCGCCCGGGGGCCCCGCGAAGCCGCCTGCCGGCAGCGTCCTCACCTCACCCGCCACGCGCTCCGCCGAGCAGAGTCTTCCTTCCGGGCCCTGCAGCCCGTGCAGACCGCGGCCCAATCCTGGGGCCCCTGGGAGCAGGGCAGGAGGCTCCTGCTGCCCGGAGACCCGGGTGCTGGGTGCCTCCAACATCGCCGCGTCTGGGAGCAGCGGCACGGGCAGGGGTCCGGGCAGGTGGGGCGTCGGCTTTCGCACAGCCAGGGCCGACTCTCCTCTCTGATCGTTGGCCTTTGTTCAAGGGCCTGGTCTCTCCCTTCCCCCAGGCTGGGGCATTTGTTCTCCCGGGGACCTGCAGAAGTCCCTCTGGGGGATCAGGGGGTCGTCATCCTCTCGGGGCTGTGTAGGCGCCTCTCCCTCGGCCACTTCCCAGGCGTGTGGGACACTGCGATCCGAAGACCGAAGAGTATTTGTTTCCTGACCCTGAGAGACCTCCTCTGTCAGACCCTGAGGAGCCTCCACCCTCTGGCCCTGAGAGACCTCCTCTGTCAGACCCTGAGGAACCTCCACCCTCTGACCTTGGCGTGTTTTCTTTCTCTAACTCAGAGGAACTTGTTCATTCTCACCCTGGGCACCCTGAGCAGCCTCCCCCTACTGACCCTGAAAGACCTCCTCTGTCAGACCCTGAGGAGCCTCCCCCTTCTAACCCTCAGAGACCTCCTCTGTCAGACTCTGAGGAGCCTCTACCCTCTGGCCCTGTTGTGTTTTCTTTCTCTGACTCAGATAAACTTCTTTGTTCTCACCCTGGGCACCCTGAGGACCTTCACCCCTCTGACTCTGAGATACCCTCTCTTTCTGATCCTGAGGGTTCTCCTCTTTCTGATCCTGAGGCTCCCCCTCTCTCTGACTCTGTGGGGTCTCTGTCCTCAACAGTTTCTCAAGTTCTGCTCTCTCCTGGCCCGGGCTCAAGGTCAGCCCCTCAGGGGGATCTTGGGGCTTAGGCAGACCTGAGGGCCCTGGGGGTCCCTCAGCAAGCTCTCTCCCTTGAAGACTCCTGGATGGTGGTCGACGGAGCTTCTGGGTTTGCGGCTTTACTTGGCTCCTCTCTTCCCGCTGGGCCAGGTCCTGGGAAGGAAGAGCACTCTGGGCCCAGGCTTGTGAAGGAATCCCCGTTCCCGAGCCGCTTTCTTCAGTGGAGCCCGGAAACCCCAGTGACTGACTAGGTCCCAGTGGGCGTCACTTCCATTAGGGCCCCTGGCCTGATTTCTGGATTCATTAAACCCATTTTATGTGGTGTTAGAGGTGCTTCAGTGATGGTGTCCTCTTCCATCTGGCTAGAAGGGCTTAGGGATCTGTCAGTCTCACCTCCTCCCAAGCAGCATCCTGCTCCCAGGCAGACCCCACCCCTGATATCCCCAATCTGAGAGGGGTTGCCTAGGACCCTCCAACCCTTTCACCTTTAACTCTGAGCTTCTTGGCTCCCCAAAGGTACTGCTGGTGAGGTCCAGCTCTTGTAAGCAACCTGAGGAAGAAAGACCAATGTTGGGAGCCCCTCTGTTCATCTGCTAGCCTCTCTCCCTCCCAACATTTGCTCCCACCTGAACTGGAACTGAGAAGCCCAAGGAGTCCCCACCCAGCACAGAGGGGAAGTGAGTAACCTGACAGCCAGTGTTTGAATTTAAGGTTGTCACAATTCATTATTCCAGCTTTATTCGTACAACCTGCCAGGTGCCTACTCATCAGCTTTACCTGCCAGCAGCCAACCCTGTCTTCTTCATCCTCTCAGCCAAGGCAAACACCCAACCTGCACACCATCTTCTGCAAAGCCACTCCTGGGCGCTTGGAGTGAGAGGGGCCTATTTGCTCAGCTCATCAGTCCCTCACCATAAGGACACCCCACTTTGACCAGGTGTGCCTGTTCAGCCAGAAGATACTCAACATATGTGCCCCACTTTACCGTATTAAGGAAAATCCCCTTTAGCCCTTTCTTTGTTTCTGAGAACAAAATCAAATGAAATTTTAGGCCAGAGCCTGGCCTGAAAACTGCAAATCTTCATGATTAACAAAAGGAATCTAAAAAGAGAGATGAGGACATCACAGCTCCCTGCAGCCACGGAGGAAGGAGTGGTGTTCTGCATCCATAAAACTCATTAAAAGAATCTGACTTCATAAGGTTTTAAATTGAGAGCTTTCACAAGAATATTCCATCTTGTTCTCTCATGCAATAGAGACTTGTGTGAATATTCATAACAGTGACTAAATGGAAATGTTCTCTGTGAAAATAAATCTGTCTTGAAGAGTTTTTCAACAAAGGAGTGTTATAAGACTCCCAAGGCCTTTAGAAATTACTGCCAAGAACTGTGAAAATAATCTCCAAAACCCCCCTGTAATTCTGATCTGTTGTCTTAGTCTAATTTATTTCTCTGGTAATAATGTTTAATTGATATCTCTGTATTCCCAGAAGATAAAATACCTGTAAAATTTCTGTCAATCACAAAATAATTACTGGCACACTCCTCCCACGTGTATGATGGAAAAATTAAAAGCCTGTGGCATTGCTAGGTTTATTAACAAGTAATCTGAGAGTCTGTTTCATTTAAACAGACCCAAAGCTCATAGAGTCCGTTCCACTGAGTTCTAATTGCCCACTTACTGTCACTCTCTCTAGCTGTGGTCTCCGCAAGTTTCGCTTGTTCTCTGCATATCCCCAGCATCTGGCACAGGGGGCAATGGATGACACAGAGCTGCTTCTCCCCTGCTCTGCCCTGAGCAGCCATTGGCAGTCATTTCCGGCTCTCTCCCCTGAGCACCAGTGTAACCAAAACCAATCAGGTGGAATTGCACATAAAATGAAACCTCCTTGCCCTTCCTGGGTGCCCCCTGGCAGTCAGTAGAAAGGTGGACAGTGAAGAATGCATGAACTTGGACTTGGTGTGGCTACCCTAGTTCCAGGGGCTCCCTGCTGTCCTGGCTGGCCACCCCTCCTGTCAGTGTACCAGGTACGGGTCCTGAAGGTATGCCAGGGCTCTCCCTACTCGGGTCCATGTTGCTCCTGGCTTCCTCCAGACTCGGGGCTGCCAATAGGCCCCCCACCTGCACCCTGCAGGAGTACAAAGCCTGCCTCAGATGAGCCTTTTGGGGCCCGTGGGCTCTGAAGTGGGGAGGGGGCCCGACTGCCCATCTCCTTACCCCCAGGAGGCTGCTGAGTCTCCCCCACCCCAACACCCAGACTCTAAGCCCAGAGTGGCCTCCCCACCCCTGCACCCACCCCTGGGTCCCGGGAACTGGAATTCAGGGGTCACCCTTCCCAGGGATTGAGGGACAACCACAGGTGCAACTGAGTCAGGGCACAGGAGGAGCTCTGAGGCATGACGAGGGCACTAGGCAGGGTTGTGGAAAGAGACAGGGAACAGGGTCCAATGCTGGGTCACTTTCTGTGGCAACACACAGTGGGTGCACAGGATTCCTGGGAAGAAAGACTCACCCCTCTGGGAGCTGAGGGTTCTGGCTCAGGGAGTCCCCAGCCTGGAACGGAGGGCACAGCCTGGGACTCTGGAAGGTTTGGAGGTACCCTAGTCCACAGGGCATCATCCCCCAGGGGAGTAGGCAGCCTCTAATAGACCCCCATGATCTCTGCCTCTTGGTGTTAATGCCCTCGTATAACCCCTCCCCCTACCACCACATGAACGAATCCCTCCTGCCCAGTTGAGCCTTCAGATGAGACTGCAGCCCTGGCCACCAACTTGACAGCAACCTCATGAGAGACCTAGAGCCAGGGACACCAGCTGAGCCACTCCTGGGTTCCTAACCCACAGAAACTGTGAGATAATAAACATTTGTTTTAAGCTACTAAGCTGCCAACCTTTAGGTTAGTAGTTGAGCGCAAACCGTTTGCACCACCATCTCTGTCTAGAGGCTTCTCTGGTGTCACCATACAGTTGCTTGGACATAGTCGCTAACCATCGAGTGATAGCAGCAGCCAGCATGTAATGAGCAGGCGCTGTGGGCTAGACTCAGTGCTAACCTGTTACACTGATGAGCTCACCTCATTCTCCTGACCGCCCTCTGAGGTGAACCCTGTACCTGCCCCATTCTGTAGCTGAGGGGATGGGGGCATAAAGGCCCACAGAGGGTGTCAGAGACATGAACCAGACCCACCTGTCTCCAAAGCCTGTGCTCCTTCCTTCCACTCTCCCTCACCGTGATGACCCCAGACATCACACTGACCCCCCGAGCCCCTGCTCACCCCACTCATGGGCCGCTCAGAGTCCCTGCCCATCCTGGCACTGGGCTTGCCGTGCTGGCTCTGTGCACACTGGGCCCAGGGCGGCCAGAGGAGGCCCAGCCCCACCCTGGTCAGCAGCTCTAAGTCCCACAGGAGCTGCAGGAAGATGGGGTACCAGGGTGTAAAGGGCACCTACCCTGCTCTTGGCCACAGCCCCAGGCAGCCCTACCTGCTCCTGGGCCCACCGCCTCCGCTCCATCTCCAGCAGCACTGTGGGCAGCTCCAGCCCCGGGGGGCAGCCCCAGGTCTCCTGGTCCTGGGGGAGACCGCGCACCCCACCCCCTCCCCTGTTGCAGCACAGCCTGGAGCTGGCCCAGGTCTGCAGGGCACCGGAAGAGGTGCTGGTACAAAGCCAAGGCCTGCTTGGGGGTACAAGGGAGCCCGAGGCCCCCAAGCGAGGCTGCTGGCTCCATGAGGCAGGGGCCAGGGTAGATGTCCCTTCCCTCCTTTCCCTTTAGCTGCCACTGGAGCCTGGGGAGGGGACAAGGACCAGGAGCTGAGGATCAGGAGCCAGGAGGAGACAAAGGCTTCTGATCTCAATAATGCAGGACCTGGACACCTGAGCCAGGTGTCGATGCTGGCCTGACTCTGATATGGGTTTCTTGGCCTTGGTGGGGCAGTGGTATAGTGTGACCCTGGTACAGAGAGGGGTGTGTGTGTGTGTGTGTATGTGTGTGTGTGTGTGCGTGCATGTGTGCATGTGTGTGTGCGTGCGCGCGCGCGTGCACGTGCATGCCCACTTCTTTGCAATCTCAGTTGAGTACGTGCTGTATATATCGGTTTGCAAATGCATTATATGGGAATGGAATAATAACAGCAGCAGCAACAATAGCTGCCAACAGCTTACTCTGTGCCAGGACACAAAATGCTACATCCACGTATCCTTCCTTGCAGCAATGCTATGAAGCAGTCACTATTATCCCTGTTTTGCAGCTGAAACAACTGGTCCCCAGGGAGTAACTTGTCCAAACATGTTGCAATGTATCCTTCACTGGAGAGCAGATGGACATGATAAATTGGCTCTGGGACAGCATGGTACTGGGAGTTTAGGCCATTCCATCACCAAGAGGTAAGTAACAGCAGTGAAGGGCTAGTGCTTCCCAAGTGCTAGTTTCACGCTGCCGGCGTGCTAAGCACTGTCCACAGGTTACCACCACCTCATTTTACAGATGAGGGAACAATTCACGTAAGTTCTAATAATGGGAGGGGATAAATACATGGGACGGTCTACAATCTGTCCTTTGCTGTCATAAGCAGCTTTGCCCTGTCTGCTGCTTGTAACAGCTCAATGAGAGAATAGAGGAAAGTCCCCCTCCCTGGCCTTAGATGAGGAGAGCGTGTCACCAAAATGGGGCCGAGAGAGCATCTCCAGTTACACTTGATGCCCTCTCAAGTAAACAGTAAAGAGACATGGTTGGGAACCCTTGTGACGAGCGTCCTCTCCTTGAGCTTTTCATCCCTAATGAATAAAAACTTGTGGCAATATTAGGAGCCTGGCAAAGAGAAAGGAGCCCCTAATTTTATAGCTGTTGTTATTAGGTACCATCAAGTTGGTTCTGACTCACAGCGACCCTGTGTACAACAGAATGAAGCACTGCCTGGTCCTGCACCATCCTTCTCCAGGGACTGGTCCCTCCTGATAACATGGCCAAAGTACGTGAGATGAAGTCTCACCATCCTTCTAAGGAGCATTCTGGCTGTACTTCTTCCAAGACAGATTTGTTCTTTCTAATTTCACTTGTCAATTTTTTTTTAGAAGTAGACCACCAGGTCTTTCTTCCTAGTCTGTCTTAGCCTGGAATCTCTGCTGAAACCTGTCCACCATGGGTAATCCTGCCGGTATTTGAAATACTGGTGGCATAGCTTCCAGCATCACAGCAACACGCAAGCCACCACAGTACAACAATAGAGTGGCAGAATTTCATAGCTAAGGTCCCTAAAACACCAAGGTCACAGAGCCGGTAGGTTGCACAGAGACGACTCAAATTCTGCACTTTTTCTATTTCAGAACTCATGCTCCTTCCCTTGTAATGATGTCTTTGCAGCCTGCACTGCCCACGCTGCCATGGCGTGGGATGGTTGTGAATGTGTGCACGTGTGTTTACTTGGGTTTCTGAGGAGTGTGTGTGTGCACCCACATGCGCACACATGCATATGTGTCTGTTTTATGTCACGGTTTGTTCTCTCCCTGGCCCCAGCCCAGGCATGGGGTCCTTGTGTCATCAGCCCTCTGAGTGCCCAGGAGGCGCCTGAACACACAGCACCCCAAACCAAGAAGACAGTGGTGGCCCATGTGGCTAGGCCCCTTGTCAGTGGCTCTTCAGCCCCTGCAGGATCCACATGGGGGCCCCAGGCCCTGCCTGCGTCACAGTCAGCGCAGGGCAGGGACCAGGACACTGGGCTCCTCCTCAAGCCCTCTGCCTGTTGTAGGGTTTCCTGGTCAGCACCAGGCGTGGCGGCAGGTGGGGGCAGCCCAGTGGCACAGGTGGAAGGAGAGAGCGAGGTCCAGGGCTGAGCCTCTCAGTGCCCACCTCTGACTCTGGGGACCCTGACCGCTGGGCCCCAAGCCCACACAGCCCCCGCCCCCACCCAGCTCCAGGAGAAAACACACACACACACACAAGGAAGCCCTGGGGCGGGCCCCAAGTTTACTGCTTCTGACTCAACACATGAGGACCTTTGCGGAGACGGACTGGACCCCCAGTGCTGGGTGGGATGCTCCCCACAGCTCCGGCAGGGTTGGAGCCAGAGGGAGCACGAAGGGGAGACTTCTGGCTGAAAAGTCCTGGTTGGGTGTCTTTCTGGCTCAGGGCATCCCCTGGTGACCCCGGCTGGGGCTGGGCAGAGCACTGAGTGGTGGGTCCCCGGTGAGCAGGACTGGGGGGCAGGCCTCGGGGGGGATGCAGTAGGCCTCGTGTTCCACCAGGCCTGCGGGGCACTGGCAGCTGGGCACGCAGGGCCTCACGCAATGGGCTGCCAGCTCCCCCAGGGGGATGTGCTGGTTGAAGCAGGTGCGGGGGCAGGGCGGGCCACACTCATCAAACACGAAGCCACGGTCCAGGGGGCAGTCCACCACTGCAGAAGAGTGGCAGGCGAGTCGTGGGGCCACTCCCAGCTGCTCCACTCTTCGTGCTTACCCCCGTGGGCCTCCTGGCGCCCACCCTGCCCAGACCTTATCCCCTGAGGCTGCCCTTCCCGTCTGGTCACCCTCCCCTAGGACCCTTCCCCGACTTGCACTGTATTGCCTCTCACCGCAAAGCATGGGGCCCCGCCAGGCAGGCGTCGCTCCTGCCTGGCGACAACGGCTGGCATAGGCCTCCAGGACGTCACAGAGGCAGGCATCTGCCAAGGGGCCGGGGCCACACGCGCACAGGTCATATACACAGGCAGCAAAGAAGGGCTCCGGGGGCACCACGGCGTGGCATCGACTGAATGGGGCTGATTTCAGCACCGCACACCGGGCATTGGCCTCACGCCGGGCACGGTAACCTGCTGCCCGGCATGGATCCACCTCTCGGCCCAGAGCACAGGGCCGGCTACGCCCCGGCGCCTCGGGGACCTAGACGGGGAAAGTGATGGTGATGCAATAGCACCCCCTGGAGGTCACCAGAGGTGCTGACCTTTGTATGCTCTGTCCTTCTAAGCACTTTCTACTGGACACTTATTTTATCCTCAGAATCCTCTCTACAAGACTGGGAAAGGAAGCACCATCTACCTTTTCCTTGTTCTCAGTTTACAGATGGAGAAACCAAGACCCAGAGCAGGTCAGTGACTTGTCCAAGGTCACACCTTTAGTGCATGGCAAAACGGGACTTAAGCCTGGGAGATCGGGGAATGAGGCCTCTTCCAACAGACCACCCCACCTTCCCTGGCACATGACAGGCAAGGGGCCCCCAAACCACCCAAAAGCCCAGACACCATCCTGTGCCTCCCTTCCATTCCAGAGTGCTGTTCTGAGGCTCGTGCTCGGCTGTGCCCACCTCCTTTGTCTGTGCTCACTCACCTGCCAGCTGTTCCCAAACGCAGCCTCTGTGGGCAGGAGCAGCCCCTGGGGGCCCCGCAGGTCATCCTGGGCAAAGCCGTTGAAGTTCCCACAGAGCCCACAGGTCTGGCCTCGGTAGGAGCCAGGCACCCTCACCTCCACCTGGGACTGCCTGTCCCACAGCACCTGTGTGGAGAGGCCTGGGGCTGGGGAAGGGGAGGGACCCAAGAAGCCCAAGGGCCATCGTGGCCACGCTTCCTGTGTCAGCACATGCATGCCAGGGAGGAGAGATGGGCTCCTGGAGGAGACACCGCCCTGGCCAAGCCACCTCACCCTATAGGGCCCTGGGCAAGCACACACCGCATGAAGGGAGCCTGCAGCTCCTGAGTGAGGGCGCCTGCTCCCGGTGCACTCCTGAACTGCACCCCAGATAAAACGCAACCACTTGCAGAGATTTACCTGGGGCATTCAGGCCTTCCAGAAGACAAAGAACTCAGTTCACTCCGTATCAGGAGTGTAAACAGGCCTTATTTTGTGAATTTACATATTGTGCTTACTTGTTGGGAGTCCCTGGCTGGCTCAAATGGTTAAGTGATGGACTACTAACCAAAAGGTTGGTGATTCAAATCCAGCCAAAGGTGCCTCAGAAGACCCCAAAACAACCCCACTGTCATTGAATAGATGCCAACTCATAGCAACCTTATAGAACAGAGCAGAACTACCCCATAGGGTTTCCAAAGAGCGGCTGATGGATTTGAACAGCTGACCTTCTGATTAGCAGCCTGAGCTCTTAACTACTTCACCACCAGTGCTCCACCCTCAGAAGACAGGCCTGGTGATCTGCTTATGAAAGGTCACAGCCTTGAAAACCCTGTGGAGCAGTTCTACTCTGCACACATGGGGTCGCTGTGAGTCGGAATCCACTGGAAGGCAACTAACAATAGCAGCTTAATGCGGAGGCGGGGAAGATTACTCTTCCACATGGGAGTTAGAAGGAACCTCTGGAGACCTGGTTGAGACCCGCCCCCCACTAACCCTTCCCGTATTTTATAGATGAGAAAACTGAGGCTCAGAGAGGGTTGGCGACTGGCCTCACAGTCACAGTGTGTTGGTAGCAGAACCAAGATTAGAAACCAGACTCAGAACTCCTCTGCTGCCCCAGCGGCGGTCTCCGACCCTGATTCCTTCCCTCTCCTCCGAGTCCAGCAGAACTCTCTCACCTCCGCAGGAGGCTCCGGAAGTAGCTGGTACCCGACACCCTCACAAATGCGGAAGCCTGGGCTGAACCGAGGCTCCCAGGCCTGTGGTTCCGGGAGCCCCCAGCCTCGCCCCATCTGGCCCTGCACGTACCTGGAGCCCCGGCTGGGCGTGCAGGATCACCGTGCGGCCCCGCAGCTCCACGTACAGCTGCGACTCCTGCAGGAAAGGCAAGGCCGCGGGGCGCCCGTCCACCTGGAGGGGCGCGGAAGGGCCATGTCGGGGACAGGTGGATGGCGCAGGACCCGCCTCCCGGGCCCGCAGCTGCTCACCGTGACCGCCCCGCCCTGCAGCAGCCGCACGACCACGCCTCCTAACAGCACCGCCACCTCCTGCGTCCAAGTCACGCCGCTCCGGCCACGGTCATCGTTGGTCACGTGGACGCTGTGGGCGCCAGGGATCAGCAGGGACCGGCGCCGGGGGTCGGGGAGAGGGACGGGGTGGGGGGAGGATGCCCACCTGAAGTCCCCTCCGCGACAGTCCTTGGCCAGCACGTAGCTGCAGCCGCCCTGGAAGTGCAGCAGGCGGCCGTCGAAGGTGCGGTAGTGTGGATCTCCGAAGGCCAAGCAGGAGGCGGGCCGGAGCACGCAGCGCGGGCAGCAGCTGCCGGGACTCAGGGCGGGGGCCTCGTCCTGACCCGGCCCCAGACCGGGTCAGACACAGCCGTTCCCGCAAGCCTGCGCAGACCCTCCCGAAGGATGCAGGGACCGCCGGGTACTCCCGGGTCTCCACTCCGCGCTCCCTGACTGACTGCAAGCAGTGTCGGGGCGCCACCTGGTGGTCACGCCGGGAACTGCACCTTCCCCCGCTCCAGATGTCGCTCTCTCCTGCCTAGTCCCACCAGCTCGGCGGTACCACGTGCCACCCCCAAACACTCGCCCTTGGCCTGCGGCACTCACAGGACCACAGGACAGCGGCGGGCAGCGCTGGCTCTGGCAGCGCACGGTGCCGGCCACGCAGGAGCAGCTGGTGCAGGCGTCCACGGCCCAGCGCTCTCCAGAGGCCACTTCCCGGCCCTGGTGAGCGCACGACGGAGCAGGGGCTGCGGGGGTGGGGGAGGGGCGGGTCAGCGGCCGCCCCGCATCCTGGGCCTCACCCACCCGTTGTCTTGGCCGCACCTTGGCATCGCTCGCAGCAGCTGCCGGCCTTGCGCACCTGCACCCAGCCTTTGGGGCAAGTGAGAACCTGGCACGCCTCCAGGTGGCACTCCACATGGCCCCACTGGGGACAGGCATTGTTGCTCTGGGAATTTCCTGCAGGCCCCGGGGGTCGCTGACCTCACAATTCTGGGATTTCCTGGGTCAAGGGCTGAGGCAGCAGCCCCTTCTCTCTGCCCCTGCCCACCACAAGACCCTTTACTTCATGTTCTTGTGGGACAGAAAATCCAGCCAGCTCGGCTCCTCACCCAGAGGGGGCACCTTTTCCTAATTAGCTCAAAGACCCCTTTGTGCTGGAGGGCCTGGCCTGCATCCTGCAACCATCTGTAAAGCCCCGCCCCCAGCTCACACGGCAGGTGCAAGTGATGCAGGTGTTGCTGGGGTCCCGCCAGCTCTGCCCGTCTGCCACCCTCCGGTCATCGGCCTCCACCACACATTCTGAGAGGAACAAGTGGGCATGGGGAGCACTGTGCTCCAGCGACACCCCTCCCCCTGGTGCCGGCCCTAAAGGTCCACAGCAAGGGAGTGTCCACCCCATTTCACAAGCACCCTGGATCCTGGATAGTGTTGGATTCTTCTATCAATATCTAGAGGGCCAACTGGATGTCAGGCCCAGGACGTCTGCAGAGTCCTGGCTGCCCGAACAGCTGGAGGTGGACTCCTCCTCTGGGCCAGGGGGCCAGTTCAGCAGTGCGGTGCCCTGCTGGTGGACCTGGTGTCCCTGAGCATACTGACAAGCCCCAGGCCAGCCACTAGAGTCCAGGCCCCATCCCTGCCTTCCTCTGCCCACATGCACTGCCCCTCCCCCATCTCTACAAAGTAACAGAGCCCAGGCTGCCCACTTGGCCCACCTCCTCCTGCCTCCCTCCTGGGCTCTTGAGGGTGCAGGCCAAGGCGGGTACTTACCCTGGCACACAGGGCAGCAGCTCCCAGGGGGGGTATGGCGCTCTGAAAGGGGGCAGCTGAGCTCGGGACAGGCCCGGTGAATGCAGAGCCATGTCAGGTCCTGCAGGCAGTGACAAGATAGGTGGAGAACAGGGGACCCTAGGAGTCAGAGGGAGGGAGCAGGGCAAGGATAGGGGTACCAGCAGAGACGAATCTGAGAATCAGAACAAGGTGGCGAACGTTGGGGTGATTGGGGGGAGGAGTCGCAGCCACAGCCCAGAGGAGGAAGAGGAGGGGTCTTTGAGAGTCCCCAGGGCCGGCAGGGCTCACCTGGCACTGGCAGGTGTAGCATGGGTCTGGCGGGGCCCGCTCAGATCCCAGCAGGCCCTCTGTGCAGTTACTCAGCGCTTCTGTGAGGATAAAAATGTGGGGGGAGGCGGGGAGGGGAAGCAGGGGTTGAGAGCCCAGCTGTCTTCACTTACACACTGTGCCCCCAGACTTCCTGAGCCCTGGGCATGCCCATATCCCCAGCACCTTGACACCAGGGAGGATATGTCCCCTTTCCCTTGATTCCGCAAAGGAACGTTTGGACTCTTGAAAAGGAACTTTGCTATGCTATTAAGACCAAAAACCAAACCCGTTCCCGTCGAGTCAATTCCAACTCATGGCGCCCCCATGGATATCAAAGTAGAACTGCACTCCATAGGGTTTTCAATGGTCGTGATCTTTCAGAAGTAGATCACAAGGCCTTTCTTCCAAGGTACCTTTGGGTGAATTTAGGACCTGGAAACTGCCCCCCCCCCCGCCCACTTCCTTTCATATTGTCTGCCTGAAACAGCACAGGGAAGCCCAATCCTGGCTCCAGCGCCCAGTGCCTGTGCCATCTTGGGCAGATGAATCAACCTCTCTGAGCCTCAGTTTCTTCACCTGTAAAAAGGGACTAAGAATACCTACCTTCCTGGGTAATTGAGAATTAAATGAGATACTGTTTATTAAAAGCACAAAGCACAGTCTGTGGCATACCAAAAAAAAAAATCCAAACCTGTTGCCGTGGAGTCGATTACGACTCATAGCGACTCTACCAAAAAAAAACCACCAAACCCATTGCCGTGGAGTGAACTCACAGCAACCCTATAGGGGGCAGAGTAGAACTGCCCATAGAGTTTCCAAGCAGCACCTGGTGGATTCAAACTGCCAACCTTTTGGTTAGCAGCCATAGAACTTAACCACTACCCCACCAATGTTTCCACAGTGATCCTATAGTAGGTGCTTAGTATATGCTAGCCCTCGTCCCCTCCCCTGAAGCACATCCTAACAAGTGTTGATTAGAATAGCTCTCCCCCTCCCTGAGGCTGGACTACTCACTGCCTCCCTGGGCCTCACAGCACCTCCTCCCATCTCCACCATCAACTACCCAGCATGGACACAACTGCTACCCCGCAGCGCCACCTGCTGGGAACGCTGCTCCACAAAGTTCAGAAGCTCTTCTCCCCATTCAGGCCTAACGCCACATGGCATGGGCTTCCAGAAACGTCCACTGAAGTCAGGAAAGGGCTGGGGCTGGGGAGCAGGGTGGGCTGGCTCTTCTAGTGTCACTCTGCGGATGGCAGTCATATCCTCTTATTTACACTCCCCTGCCCCAGTTCTACTCTGTCCTATAGGGTTGCTTTGAGTCAGAATTGACTCGACAGCAGTGGGTTTGGTTTTTGGTTTTGGCCCCAGGACTTGAGCCCTGGTGGTGCAATAGTTAAGCATTCGACTGCTAATCAAAGGTCCAGTGGTTCGAACCCACCACCTACTCCAAGGAAGAAAAGACCTGGCAATATGCTCCCATAAAGATTACAGCCTAGGAAACCCTATGGGGCATTTCTATCCCATAGGGTGGCTATGAGTTGGAATCGACTCTGCAGCACACAACCACCCCAGGACTCACCAGCACAGGTCGGGCAACAGCGCTGGGGCCCAGGAGGCAGAAGCTGGCTTGGGGGGCAGCCCACCAGGCTGGGGCACTGCCGACGGTGACAGTGCAGGCTGGGGGCCCCCTCGGGCTGTAGCTACAAGAAGAATGAGTGACAGGGGTGTGTCCCCAGCCATGGAAGCCAAGAGCTCCCCTCTTCCCCTGGACGCCAGGTCCCCCACCTGCCTGCACACCCCTCCCCAGACTTGCTCCTCACCCCATGCGCTAATCCCCAAAGATGGTGTCCCTTCTTCCTTCCAGTTACTTGGGCCTGAACCCCATGTGACCTTTGACCTTCTTGCGCTCTCATGCCTGAGGCCACATCCTCCTCCCCAACCCCACTGCCTAAACTATGATGTCATCTGCCTGCTCAAAACCGTTCCATGGCTCCCCATTACCTTTCAAAGAGTGGAAACCTAGCCTTCCACAATATGGCCCCTAGCCACTTCCCAGGGGGCTCCCCCACCGCCTCCTACACACACCTTCTGGCCAGGAGGACCTGCCCACTGCCTCCCCCATACCTGTGTCTAACCCCAGGCCTCCCGACCTCCCAGCTCTTCACCTCAAGCCCTGCCTCGCCTCCTGGCCACAGGGACACATCCTGTCTCTGACCCCATAGTGCGTGCCTGGCCCTCCCCCCATACTGCCTCCTCCATACCCATGGACACTCCCCACTCTCTGCTTCGCCCTCACCCTACCTCACAGACGCACACTTCACAGGGGTCTGTCCCAGGCTGGAAGCTCTCCCCTGGCTCATACTTGCGCCCCTTGTGCTCACAGTCTTGGGGGTGGGGGAAGAGAGGGACAGGACCAAGGAGCCTGCCGGCAGGCAGCACTGCCAGGGGGTGGGTCCTCCACACCCCATCCCACACCAGCCCCAAGGGATTGGGGAGTGGCACAAGAACAGAGGCCCCTTTTCCCTAGACAGCCTGTCCCTGCAGCCCAGTCCCCCTTTGAGGGGACTCTAACCAGGACAAAGGCAGGGAGGCTGGGCTGGAACAGACCCGGGCGGGGGTTGCCTCCCTGCTCCCCCGCCCCCACTCCAGGTTCCCAGTACCAGAGCATCGTGGGCAACAGTCACCGGGCCCCTGGAGGGGCTGGGTACAGGAACTGACACACTGGATGCGGGCACAGGTGACAACGCCCTCGTGACACATGCAGGAGGAGCAGGGGTTGTCGGGGGGCACCCAGCTACTGCCTTCAGGATGCTCCTTCCCATAAGCCAGGCAGCCTGTGGTCCATAGTGGGCAGGGATCAACTTTGAGTCTGAGGTCCAACACCCACCCTGGCCCCCACCTGGTGGTCAGCAGGGGATGTGGCCATCAGGAGGGGTGCCTGCAGGGATGTGGTAGGAAGGTGGGCCCTCCTGTCAGCGGGGGTGGGGAGCAGCATGGTGACGGGAAAGGAGGCTGGGGTGGTCAGATGCCTGGGTTCTGCTCCCATTTCATGCCTGCCTGCTGCTCCCTAGACCAAGCTCCAGGCAGCAGGCACAGCCAGGTGCAGGCCAGCACCAGCAGTAGCGCGGCCTGCCGCGGGCTGTAACAAACACACGTGGAATGAACCAACAGCTCCATCCCTAACTCTGTGGCCCTGTGTGCCCAAGGCAATCTCTCCAAGCCTGTCCCATCTGTTACATGAAGGTTTCCTCTGTCCTGTCAACCTCACAGTGGTGGGGGAGAGCAGGAGGCAGGCTAAGGAAGGCTCATATTCTGGAGCTAGCCAGCCTAGAAGCCACTCTTGACTCTGCCACCTACTAGCTGAGTGACCCCAGGCAAGTTATGTTCACTCTCTGTGTGTCGGCGTTCTCATCTGTGAAATGAGAGTACAGAACAGCACCAAGCTAGTGAAACTGTCACGTGGATCAAATGAGATAAGGTGTGTAAAGGGCTGAGCACAGTGCCTGGCACAAATGGCGTGTGCTTAACACGTTAACTGTCATCGTTAGGAACGAGGTGGGTTAGGAAGGGGGCAGCTTTGAGCGGCTTGTCGCCAGCACCTGGAGGGGTAGGAGACGGTTGGGCAGGACAGGGGCAGGGAAGGGCTGAGGTGGGCAAGGGTGAGAGCTCAGGGGGCTGCAGTGTGGGAGTGCCAGGAGCAGTGGACGGGGAGGTGGGAAGGCTGGACAAGGGCAGAGGGGCAGGGGGTGTTCAGGGTGCAGGGTGGCCCCGAAGGGCGGACATACCTCTGCAGTGAGGGCAGCAGGCCCCCCGCTCTGTGACCTGCAGCTGGCAGGGCAGGGGTGGGCACTGCAGGCGCACACAGCTGACCTGGCCAGCCTGCAGGAGACACAGGGTCAGCACCGCCCTCTCTAGGCCCCGCTTTGATCCAGCCCCTCGGCCTCCTCCCTGCCGGTCACCTCCCTGCGGTACCTGACAGCGGCACTGCTCACAGCTGCCAGCAGGCCCCGCAAACTCCTCCCCATCCTGGTGCTCCCGGCCCCCCGAGAGGCAGCCTGTGGGGACACACTTTCTGGGTTGAGGGACAATACCACCCTGCCCTGCCCAACCTCAGCCTGGCATGGAGGGAGTGGGGGTGTGTTATAGATTGAATTGTGTCCCCCAAAAATATGTGTTGGAATCCTAAACCCTGTACCTGTGGAGGAAAAGCTCGTGGCTTAGTGGTTAAGAGCCACGGCTGCTAACCAGGTTGACAGTTCGAATCCACCAGGCGATCCTTGGAAACCCTATGGGGCAGTTCTACTCTGTCCTATAGGGTCGCTATGAGTCGGAATCAACTCGATGGCAATGGGTTTTACAGGTACCTGTGGATGTAATCCCATCTGGGAACAGGGTTTTCTTTGTTATGTTAATGAGGCCATATCAGCGTAGGGTGTGTCTGAAACCCGCTGACTTTTGAGACATAAAAAGAGCAGATCAGACACAAAGAAGCAAGAACAAAGAGGGGAAAGATAGATGCCGTATGTCGATCTCCAAAGAACTCCGAAAAGAAAGCTAGAGAAGCTGAGACAAGAATTTTCCCCCAGAGCAGACAGAGAGCCTTCCCCTGGAGCTGGTGCCCTGAATTACGACTTCTAGCCCTCTAAACTGTGAGAAAATAAACTTCTGTTCGTTGAAGCCACCCACTTGTGGTATTTCTGTTATAGCAGCACTAGATAACTAAGACAGAGGGTGGGGAGACTCGGAGGGGCACAGGAGCTGGGCGGGCGTGTGGAAGCAGCTCACTGTGGCAGACAGGGCAGAAGCAGGGCCCCACAGAGGGGTGGGTGCAGGGAGCTGGGGGGCACGGCTTCTTCTGGCAGCGCACGGAACCTTCCTGTGGAGAGAGGTCACACTGCCACTTCTGACCCCCACCCCGTTCCTCCATCACACCCTTCAACCAGGCTGCACACTGCTCTGGGGTAGGTGCCCCTGCCAGGCCCCAGCCTTCCTCCTTAGCCCCAGAGACCTGGACCCAGCCTGGTAACTAGATGTCACAGGCAGAGTGTGTGCCCTTGAGACATGGGTGGAGGCCTGGCCAGAGGGACCAAGAGATGAAAGGCTACAAGTGGGCTACCTCACCTGGCAGGTGCAGATGGAGCAGGTGGGGTCAAGTGGGTCAGGAAAGGTCTCTCTGGAAGCAGCAGTGACCCCGTGATAAAGGCATCCTGAGAGAGAAGGGCTGCCATCAACAGAGCCCACTGGACGGACACACACACACACACACACACACACACACACACACACACAGCCAGGCCTGGGGACTTCTGTCAAAGCCTTGGGAGTCAGAGAGGGGGAGATGTGTGTGGCTGGGAAGGTGAGGGGTGGGAGGAGACTTCAGCCAGGCCACCCACAGTGAAGGGGTTGGAGGACAGCATTTTGGGCACCAAGATTGGAAAAAGCAAAGGTGAAGAGATGGACTAAACCCACTGTCATCAAATCGATTCTGACTCATAGTCAGAGTGACCCTATAGGACAGAGCAGAACTGCCCCATAGGGCTTCCAAGGCTGTAATCTTTAGGAAGCAGACTGCCACATCTTTCTTTCGTGGAGTGGCTGGTGGGTTTGAACCACCGATCTTTTGGTTAGCAGCCAAGCTCTTAACCACTTCGCTACCAGGCTCCTTAGAGATGGTCGACCAAGGTTTTATCATCTGTGCGCCTAGGGTGGGAGGAAGGTAGTGAGGGAATCAGTACAACTGGCAAGGAAGTAGAAGGTTGGGCTGGGCAAGGGAGGGTGGGGCTGAGGAATCTGCAGGGAATGGTGAATGGTTTTAAACAGACCATGGCACAGTGCCATGATATTTCAGGAAGGCAATGAGACAATTGAAGAGTAGGAAGGTCTGGCAGCAGAATGACCAGTTATCCGGTCTAGTGTGAGGTGACAGGGGACAGACAGGAGTGGGTGGGTGTGATGGGAGGCAAGCCTGAAGAGAAGCCCAGGGGGTGTGTCTGCGTGTGTCTCAGAGGTGGGATGATGGGGGCGTGCTGGGTGACTCTGACTGCTAGGAGGCTGGGGCCCCCTGGAGCTCCAGGAGAGGGTGGAAGGGCAGGGGCAGCCCCACCTACCCTGACAGGTCGGGCAGCAGTTCCCAGATGGGGTGAGTGGGTGGCTGCAGCTCAGAGGTTCGCAGGGGCGGCGGCTGCAGGTCACGAAGCCTCCAAGGCAGGTACATAGGTTGCAGGGGTCTCTGGGGTCCAGGAACTCCTGGCTGCTCAGGTAGGATTCCCCCAAATACTCACAGCCTATGAGAGAGGAGAGAGAAAGAGCAGGAGGAGGAGGAGAAGAGGGATGAGAGGAGAGCAGTTACCGGGGTCTGAGCCCCGGCCTGGCCTGGGTCCAAGGCCTCAAGCCCCGGCAATTCATCCAGGCCCAGTGGGCAAAGGATCCTGGGGTGGGAGGGGGGCGTGCTGGGCTGGCCAAAGGTTCAACTTCCTCCCTGTCAGCCTGCAAAACTCTCCCTGTCCAATCTATAGGGAAAATCCCCACAAAGAACCTGTCCCTACAGCCAAACACTCAGCAGGCTGCCGCCGACCTGAGGAGAGCTGGGAACAGCCCGAGATACTCTAGGGGTGTGGATGCGAGGGCCTCTCTTTCCAGTGCTCTCTCAAGCCTTCTGATTAACTCATGATGGGGAAGGGGGTTACAGGGGGGTGGCAGCCCGCTCTTTGACACTCTCTGGCCTTTGCTGACCCCTCGCTCCTTTTAACAAAGAGAGCAAGCCTCAGGCTCAAACCCTTGGCAGGCAAAAATCTCTAACTAGAATTTACTATTTTATATTCAATTATATTCACTTTTACGGTAATCTTCCATTCCTGGCAAATAATCTAATTTTCCATTTACAGTATGATATAAAAACTTCCTTTCTAAATAAATTTAAATTAAAAAGTGAGTTGATTTAAAGAAAAATACTCAGTAAATAAAACTACAGGTGGTAGGGGATACAGAGCAAAAATGTTACGATGAGACAAGAATGACTGAAGACTGGGGCGCTGGATCTGGTTCAACCCTCTTGCTCTCTTCTTTTTTTTTTTTAACAGAAGTTAAAATTAGGCCCAGAAAGGTTAATGTAACTTGACCAAGGTCATACAGGCAAAGAGCATCCGAGCAAAATCAAAACCAAACCTGTTGATGTCGAGTCAATTGCCACTCATAGCGAGCCTATATGACACAGTAGAACTGCCCCACAGGGTTTCCAAGAAGCGCCTAGTGGATTCGAACTGCCAACCTTTTTGTTAGCAACCATAGCTCTTAACCACTGCATCACCAGAGCTCCAAAGAGCATCAGAGGCAGGAGAAAATCCAAGCTGTAGTCTACTGCTTTTTTCTTTTTTTTCCTTAACCGTAATAAATATTTCCGACCCACCCCAGCCCCCTCACCATCACAGGCAGGGCAGCAGTCGCCCCTGGCGGGGAAGGGGCACCGCGCTGGGGCACAGGTCCTGGGCTCACAGTTAACGCTGCCTTCCCAGCAGAGACAGACGTGACAAGGGACACTGGGCGAAGGGATGCGCTCCCCGCTGGCCAACTCCTTCCCCTGGTACGAGCAGCCTAGGTGGGGGGGGGGGGGAGATGAGAGCAGGGGCTGGGGGCAGTGGCGGCTTTTACCAGGCCCACAACCTCCCAGGCCCTGCTGACTGGGCACTGTCCCCCACGTTCTTAATGAGAACCCCGACGTGGGAGGCGCTGGACCTGGAGGAGGGGGACACAGCGGCGGTGACGGCTTGAGAAAGGACGCCACGCAGTAAGCAGAAGGGCAGGACGGGGGCGGAGCTGGAAGGAGGGGCTACCAGGGGCGGGGGCCCCGCACTGGGCGTTACCGTCGCAGGCGAGGCAGCAAGGCCCCTGGCGTGGGTGGGGGCAGAGCGCTGGCGGGCAGGGTAGCCGCTGGCAGGACACCGAGCCGTCGAGGCAGAGGCAGCGGCGGCAGGAGTCACCAGGCAGGGAGAAGTGCTCCTGGTGTTGGGCAGGGGCCGCGCCCCCGGCCCGCGGGCAGCCGGCGTGGGCTGCTACTGCGAGAGCGCACGCAGGGAGCACGCGTCAGGGGCGCAGGAAGGCGGGCGTCAGGGAGCCCCGAGGAGAAGGCCCAAGGGCGCAGCTCCTACCTGGGCACTGTGGGCAGCACTCTCCCGGCGGCAAGACGGGTTCTGGACAGGACAGCGGCTGGCAGCGGCGGGCCAGGCACTGCACGTTGCCGCTCTGCCGAGGGACAGATGTACAATGCCAGGCCCGAGTCAACGCCAGGAGGCCGAGAGGACTCCCTACCCCGCTGATTAGGCCCCCAGCTCTGCTCAGTTATATGTGCGTGTATGGGGCCGGAGGAACAGCTGGTAGGAGTGCGGCCTCCATGGTGACTGGAGATGAGAGGTTGCGCCTTCACGCCCCGCGGCTCCTCTCCCACCCAGGTCGCAGACTCACCAGACAGCGACACAGGCGACATGGATCGGAAGGGTGGGGAAAATCGGCTCCACTGGGGTACTCTTTCCCGGCAAAGGCACATCCTGGGGGAGGGGGCAGCTATAGGCCTGGGAAACGGCCCCACTTCCCGCAGGGGATGCTGCCCTCCTGGCCCCAAAAGGCTTAGATCCCACTAAACCATCTCAGGAGGATCCCGACCCCCCACTCACCCACCCAATCCAGTCTACCCACCACTACAGTCGTTTTGGCAGCAGGCACCCGGCAGCGGGTGGGCGCAGGGGGCCCTAGGGCAGGCCCGAGGCTGGCAGTGGGCACGGCCCTCCTGGCACTGGCACTCCTGACAGGAGTCTCGTGGGTGGGAGAAGCTCTGGCCATCCACAAACACCTGCTTCTCCAGGATGCAGTCTGGGCAGTGGACAGTGGGGACAGGAATGGGGGGGAGTAGACTGACAGCCCCTCCAGAACCACTGTGGAACTGCCTGCTTGGGAGCTGGGCCCATGGAGGGGACTGTGTAAACACCTGTGCACATGCGTGCAGGCGTGTGGATCTCTCTGCACTGTGTGTGTGTGAATGTGGACGCGCATTTGAGTCCATTTACCTGCAGGCATATGTGTGCTTCAGAGGGTGAAGTGTGTACCCATGTGTGCATATGTTTGTGGTACGTACACTGGCATAGACTCCATGGGGCAGGGCACATGTCACAGGGCATTCCAGCACCACATCCCCCACCCAGCAGACCCAAGTGTTCCATGCACCTGTGTTATACAGGTAGATATACAAACACATCTGAGTGGGGGCGCCTTGGAAGTGGAAATGGAGAATGGGAGGGAAGGGTGCTATAAATAAACCTCTTCTCTCCCTCCCACCTCCCCTGTGAGCCTCAGAGAGTTCTACGCTGTGTCAGACTGCAAACAAGTCAGAAGGCTGTTGTTTGGAAGGCATCTGTTGGAACTGCGGGGCCGTGGGAGCAGCAGGGCCGAGCCCTCCCCAGCCACACAGGTGCAGTAAACACATACCTGGGCACCTGGGGCAGCACTGACCAGGGCCAAGCTGGGGCCTGGCGCAGGTGGTGGGAGGGCAGTCGACCAAGGAGCAGCTCACAGTCCCGTCCTGGAGCAGGGAGAGGGCAATGGGGGCGGGCCCGGGAGGGGCTCAGCAGGCAGATCAGGCCTGGGAGGGGTACCTGGCAGCGGCAGGCGTGGCAAGGGCTGTCTGCGTCAGTGAAGTTCTGCCCGTTGGTATACACCTGGCCCTGGTAGGTGCAGCTCTCACAGCTGGGGCAGCAAGCACCTGGAGGGGCAGGTTCGTCAGAGCCCTGTTGGGAAGACAGGGAAGAAGGCCAGGCCCGGGGCAGGGGCACTCACCAGGGGGCTGGGTGGGGTGCTGGCAGGGGGCCGGGGGGCACAGCAGAGCCTCGCACACGGGCACCCCATCTCGACAGGAGCAGGCAGTGCAGGGCTGACCTTCTGGCTCCCACTGGACCCCCTCAGCAAACTCCTCTCCGTCTAGCACGCAGGCTGCAGCAGGGGGCTGTCATCAGGTAACTGGAACACTCCCATCCCTGCCCCTCCCAGACCAGAGACCCCTGGCCTCCCCATCCCCAAGGCAGCCTGCGAACGGGCCAGGCTAGTGGGCTGAGCAGCTTGCCCCTGCCTGTGAAGTTGCAACTTCCCATCTCCAGCCACTGTGGAAGCCCAGCTGTTCCCCCGACCCCATACACGCACACACACCTGAGCAGAGCTGGGGGCCAGAGTCCGACAGGGTACAAGGGGCCACTGGGCACTCCTGCTCCTCACAGGACACCTCGCCGGCCTAGAGGGGAGGCTGGGTGAGAGGCCCTGGAGGCGGGAGGCAGAGGAGGCTGACCGGGCGGAACCCCCTACCTGGCAGAGGCAGCGGGCACAGCGGCCACTCTCTTGGGGTCTGAAGGTCTCCTGGCTCTGGTACTGGTGTCCCTGGTATTCGCAGCCTGATGAGGGGAATGGGGGTACAGGGCTGGCAGCTGATGGGGAAGCCTCCCGCCTTCCCAAAGCATCCACCTGTTCCCGCAGCTAGGAACGCCACCCCTGTCCTCCAGGGGGTGCTGTGACACCACCGAACCTTGGGCCCCACCAGGTGCCATTTGCCGTGAGAAGGTGAGGTGATAGCTTAGGTTTACAAAGGTTTTTTCCGTACTTGAGTTCCAGGGGCTTCGTGAAGGTCGGGGGGAGCAGACCCCATACCGGACCTCTCTCCTGCCAGTGCCTGCCCCTCCCCGAGACTCGCCCGACTCACCGTCACAGACTGGGCAGCACTGCCCAGGGGTCCTGCCCGGGTGTCTGCAGGGCACAGGTGGGCAGGGCAGAGGCTCACACTGGACACTCCCGTTCTGCCAACAGGGCCTGGTCAACAGCTGGGAGGCAGGCCCCGGCCAGCCCTCCCGGCCCGGCAGCCCCACTCACAGCGCAATGGCAGTTTGAGCAGGCGTCCCCAGAGCCCACAGGCTCCCCGCTGCGGTACTCCCGCCCATTTAGGAAACAGCCTGTGTGGGAGAGGGTGCCTTAGACCCTCCTCAGGGACCCCTCACCACCCCTGTCCTGGCCTTCATGGGAGACCCAAGCTGCGCCATCCCAGCAGCTTCCGGAGCCCCTCCTGGTTGCCCGCCTTGCCCAGGACCCTGCCTGACTCACTGACTCACCGTCACACACGGGGCAGCAGGCGCCTGGGTGGGGCCGGGCAGGGTGTGGGCACAGGCTGGTGCACTCCTGCTGGCGGCACTGGCCATGGCCCTCCTGGTAGGGGGGAGGTGGGCAGGGGGAGGGGCCGTCAGGGCTCAGCCAAGGGGCAGATTCGAGTCACTTATTAGATATGTAGCCTAGCATGTTACTTAAGCTCCCTGAGACTCAGTTTACTCATCTGAAAAAGGGGACAATGACAGTCCTGTCCTCATAGGACTGTTATGGGGATATAATGAGGTGAGATGTCCCATGTGGCATCTGCCTGTGAAAGCCGATACTTAATAAAAAGTAGCGCTGATCCTCCCCCACGGCCTTTCCCAAAGAGACCCCTTGTCCCCCTACCCCTGCCGCGTTCACACCTGTGATGTCTGTGACATGCCTGGGCTCACTGCCCCCAACACCGTAAGTGTCTTCCTCTTCCCAAGCAGGTGAAGTGGGGAAGGAGTGGTGGTCAGTGTGAAAAGGGACATGGGTATAGTGGGGGTGGGAGCCCCATGGCCTTTCCAATGATGTCCCTAGTCCTTAGCCAGTCAGGTAGCTCTGCGGCTCTAGCTTCAGTCCCCAGGAAACACGACCCTCCTCAGGCCTCCGTGTCCCTACCTTCCTCTCCCAGGCTCCGACCGCCCCTACCATTCCCAGTACCCGGAGCGTCTTCTCCCACTTCTCCCTGCTCAAAATCTGCCCACCCTTTAAGGCCTACGTCAACACTCCTCCTCCATGAAGCCTTCCTAGATCTGCACTGCCCAATAGAAAGATAATGCAAGCCACGTATGTAAATTCTCAGCCAAGAAAACCCTACGGAGCACACTACTGCATAACACACGGGGTTGCCATGAGTCGGGACTGACTCGATGGCAGTGAGTTTTTTTTTCTAGTAGTCAAATTTTAAAAACTAAAAAGAAACAGATGGAATTCATTTTAATAATATAGTCCATTTAACCTAATATTTCCAAAAGATTATCATCTCAACATGTCATCAATATAAAACTATTAATGAGGCATTTTCCATTCCTTCCTTTCATACTGGAGCCCTGGTGGTGCAGTGGTTAAGAACTCGGCTGCTAACCAAAAGGTCAGCAGTTCAAATACACCAGCCACTCCTTGGAAGCCCTATGGGGCAGTTCTGTCTGTTCTATAGGGTCGCTATGAGTCCGAATCGACTCGATGGCAACAGTTTTTTTGTTTGTTTGCTTTCATACTACCAAGTTGGACAGCGCAGTTCTAGATGCTTCAAGTCAACCGCATTCCTTGCTCCCCAGAGCCTTTGCCGCTCACCCTGTTCTGCCTTTTCTCTTTCTTCCCTTAGCCTGTGAGCACCTTGAGTTCAGGTCACAAGCCCATGCTCAGCACCTAGTGCTCAGAGCTGGGGATTCAGGTGGGTGCGAGTAGCCTCTGCACACAGCACCCAGGACTAGGGCTTCTCCACCTGTCCCCACACGGCGCAGATGGGATTCGCTAAGTGGAATGGAGGGAGAAATACAGAGGGCGGGGAGAGGGGGACTCACCAGGCACCTGCAGATCCGGCAGGGGTCCCCAGGTAGAGTCCACTCTTGGCCATGCTCCTGGTGAGTGCCACCTTCTGTGCAGCCTGGGGGCAGAGCAGAGGAGGCTGATGGGAGCCGGCCTGGACCCCAGCCTCAGCCTGCTCCTCCCCTCCACATGCCCTCTGAGGCTGTCTCCTGAGCCCAGACCACACCAGGTCATGCCTCTACCTAGACCCCTCAGTGACTCCCTATTGCCCCAGGTGGGGTACAGCCCAAGCTCCTTAGCCTGCCCTTCAAGGCCCTCCATGCTCCGCACAGCCACACCCACCTCTCCTACCCACTTCTGGCCAGTCCTCACCTCTCCTTTAAGCTCTGACCATTCATGCCTGCTTGCACCTGCCCCACCTTACACACACCTCACACTGAGTGTCAGTTCCAAGCCTTTGCTCACACTGTCCCCTCTGCCAAGCATGCCTGCTTCCATCCCAGCCTTTCACCCAGCTAACTCCCATCTAGCCTGAAGGCCCACCTTAGGATATGCCGCCTCCAGGAAGCATTCCCTCATGTGCCCAGACTGGACTAGGTCCCCTTCCCCTGAGTTTCCGCAGTACCTGGTGGCTACTTCTATGACCACCTTTGTGGCATTATCTTACAATATGGGTTATGTGCCAGTGGCAGCCTCTATTGGTCACCTTGAGGACAGGTCCCATGTCTTAAGTGTTTAGAGAGCCCAAAACATAATAATCCAGCTGACCAACCAGCTGCCATCAAGTCAACTCTGACTCATGACGGCCCCATATGTGTCACAGTAGAACTATGCTCCATAGGGTTTTCAGTGGCTGATTTTTCAGGAGATCACCGGGCCTCCAAAGAGATCACCAGGCACTCCAAGGTGCCTCTGGATGGACTTGAACCTCCAACCTTTCAGTTAGCAGCTGAGCATATTAACTGTTTGCACCACCCAGGGACTCCCCAGATGATAATAGTCAACACTCAGCAGCGCTATGGGGTACGTAATATCATTGTCTGCATCTCACAAATGGGGAAACTAAGGTCTGGAGTAATTGACTGAGAGCCACACAACTATCAAGGGGTATAGGCAGAATTTGAGCTCGAGCATCCAGCTCCGGAGGATGCTTGGCCGGGCATCGCTTGCCCATTGAGCTACAGCCCAGAGGCCAGCAGGGTGGGCCCTGGAGTTCAAGGGCCAAGCATGACAGCCCTGCTTAGAGTCCAGAGGGAAGGGTCAGGGGCTCTCACCTTGGCAGGTGGGGCAGCAGTGCCCAGGCCTCAGGACTGGCTCAGGGCAGGGGCTGGGCGGGCACTTCACGGGCACACAGCGAACCAGGCTCCTCTGTAATGCACCAGCAGCTGGAATGCCTCCAGGTCTGCTCCCAGGGAGGACAGGGTGGGCAGATGTAGGCTGCCCTTGGGGGTGGGGTGGACACAGGGCAGGGATGGAGGGAGAACTTGCTGGACACCAGGAAGGCATGTGATGGGGCAGAAAGAGTGGCAGGCATGGCCCAGGGTGGGTGGAGGGGTTCAAGGAGGAGCAGGGCCTGGGCACAGGTAGGGAGACTCACCAGGCAGGAACATTGAAGACAAGGGTTGGAACTGGACAGGAAATTGGCCCCCTCCTCGTAAAGCTTCCCCTCGTACTCACAGCCTGGGGGGTTACCAGGATGACCGATGCATCACCAGAGAGCAGGGTGGGGAGATGAACATTGCCCAAGGGGAGGCATGACCCCACAGGGTACTGGACCTTCTGGGGCTGGGATGGGTGGAGGGCAGGGCAGGGCAGGGCAGGGTAGGGGGGGTCACCTGGCCGGCAGATGGGGCAGCACTCCCCCGGTGGGGTGTAGCTCTCCAGGCAGTTGAGCTCTGGGCAAGAGGGCCCCTGGCACCGCACGGTCCCTGCCTGCAGGGCAGACACTGAGCCTTCCCTCCCTGCTCCACTGCCCGAGCCAGGTCGCTCTGCTGGCCTGGCAGGCAGAGCAGGCTCAGGCCCCAATGCCAGGGCAGCAGCAGCAGCCCTGCCTGGCCCCCAGATTGGACTTGGCATTTCCAGGCCTGGGATATGCCAAGTATCAGGGACGCAGGTGGCGGCTGGGCCCAGGCCCTGATTCCCTTACCTGGCAGGTGCAGGTGACACAAGGTTCTGGATGCCACGTCTCCCCAGCTTCATGGCCCCCAGGGCAGCCTGCAAAATCAGGGCCAGGCCCCCAGGTAAGAGACTCGGAGGACTGGGGTGAAAGCACAGCATGATGGAGCCACATCACTGATGGCCATTCAGGTGCCGGGCATGGGTCATTTTTTTTTTTTTTTTTTTAATTGTACTTCAGGTGAAGGCTTACAGAACAAATAGTTTCTCATGAAACAGTAGCACACATATTGTTTTATGACATTGGTTAACAACCCCACGACCTGTCAACCCTCTCCCTTCTCGAGCTTTTTTTTTTTTTGGTGAAAATATACGTAACCAAAGATACACCATTTCAAAAATTTCTACATGCACAGTTCAGTGACATCGACTACGCTCTTCCAACTGTGCCGCTATTCTCACTTTAGATGAAGGTTTACAGAACAAAATCGTTTCCCATTAAACAGTTAGTACACGTGTTGCCCTATGACAATGGTTAACAACCTCACAACACATCAACACTGTCCTTACTCAACCTTGGGTTCCCTATCACCAGCTTTCCTGTCCCCTTCTGCCTTCTGGCCCTTGTCCCTGGACTCTTGTGCCTCATTAGTCCCATTTGGTTTTATGGGGCTGTCCACTCCGTGGCTGAACGGTGAACCTCAGAAATGACTTCACCACTGAGCTGAAAGGGTGTCTGGGGGCCATACTCTCGGGGTTTCTCCAGTCTCCTTTAGGCCAGTAAATCTGGTCTTTTCTGGCATGGGTCATTTTTATATTCACTACAACAACTTTCCAGCAGGTGGCAGTAAAGTCTCCAACGCTAGCATATTTCCATCATTTTACAACAGATAAGTGTCTTGAAGAAGGGGTGCCTTTTTTAATTTTGCCAAAGGCATCCTATGGGCTAGCAGTGGCCCTGAGGCACAGTGTGTCCTATAAGCTGTGTGTGTGTGACCCTCTTCTTTGAGATCCATCAGTTCCCAAGACTTCACTCCCAAGCCTTCCAGGCAATAATTCCAGACCTGGAGCCCCCGTTCACTTTTCTCTTTACCAGCTGAGATTCTTCCCAGACAGGACCACCAGATACAACGCAGGATGGCCAGTGAATTTGCATTTCTACTGGGTGAGGTATAAGTATGTGCCAAATATTACATGAGACATACTTACACTAAAAAAAGTATGTGTTGTTTATCTGAAATTCAAAGTTAACTGGGTGTCGTGTATATTTGCTACGCCTGGCAACCCTATTCCCCTAACTATGAGCTGGTAACTCTAGCACCCCCAGCAAAGTCACTGCCAGTCCTGCTCGTCCTCTCCGCATGTCACTGGCACCACTGTCCTCCTAGTTTCCCGAGTTCCACCTCCACTATTCCATGGAATCCAACCAGTCACCAGCTCCTGCCAGTTCTGCAGCCCACGGCCACTGCTGGTTCCATGACTGGGTGACAGCTGCAGTAGCCCTCTAACTGGTCTCCTTGCATCTAGTCCATGCTAGATGGATATTCCTAAAACACCTCTTTGAACACACCACACTCTGGCTCTTCAACCTTCAATGGCTCCCCATTGCCCAGAGAAGAAAGTCCAGATGTCAAGGCTTACTGCAGCCTTTTCCCATTGACCTTCCCAGACTGAGTTCCTGCAGCACACCTTTTTCCACCCTGTTCTTGTGCTCCAAAGGGCCCTGGAGTACTCTCTCTCCTGATGAAATCCCACTTTCTCTTCTGACCCAGCTCAGATGACCCACTGTCTGTGAAGCCCACCGTGACTGCCTTGTCTGGTGGGCTGCCCCTGCCCTCTTCTCCGGCAGCTAACCATGTACTGTCTTTCTACAGCTCCTCTTAATCCATCAGTTGGATCTTAAATCTTGTGCTATATTAGCTATAAGCTTATCTTCTCAACTAGATTAAAAATAGACCACGTGTCTATGTCCCTTATAGCCTCTGGCAGTCCCAGCCCAGAGTCCGTGTCAGCTGACTTGTGCATCGGTCTGAACTCCCTAGATGTGGTCCAAGTGAATGGGCAGGTCCCCCACACCTGCTCAGGCTCTGGTGGCAGAACCACGGCTCTGTGGTTCCCCTGAGTGAGTGCAGGGGGAGGGGCCAGGGCTGACACGAGCTGACCTGGCTCACAGTGTGGGCAGCATGCTCCAGGTTCAAGGCAGGGTCCTCCTGGGCACGGCTTCTGCGTACAGGTCACCACCCTGTCCTGTGGGGAAGCAGACGGGTGGCTGCACGGGGAAGTGGGGGTAGGAGGGCAGGGCCTGCAGAACCCCCACCCTAGGCCAGGACAGGTCAGAGGGCCAACAGCTGAGCTGGTGTGGGGTGTGTGGGCTACCCTTGGTCCAAAACAGAAAAGGGACATTCTGCCCCCACCCCATCCTCCCTTGCTGCTCTCGCCTCTGGAAGCCAGCAACTTCTCCAGGGTGGAGGGATCCCAGGAAGCAAGCCAGAGACTCTCAGGAGTGAGGGAGAAAGGGTCATGTAGGTCAGGTGGGAAGACAAGCAAACACCCTCCATGCCACTGTCCGCCAGGTCCAAATCAAAGGGGCCCAAAGGGGGCCTTCCCGTGCTGGGGGGCTGAGCTCCAGAAAGTAGAACTGGGAGGAATCCGCTGAAGCCCACCAGTGGCAAGGTTCGGGAAGGGGGTTAGTCAGAACCCATTATGTAGCATTCAACACACCAGGCTGGAGGGATAGGTAGCAAAGTGAGCCAGACAGGTGAGGGGGACAGGTGTGGGGCCTCCAGGTGGGTCACGGGAACTCACCAGGCAGTGGCAGGTGGTACAGGCATCTGGGGAGAAGGTCTCCCCATTGCCATAGGCCCGACCGCTGTGGCTGCAGCCTGAGGAGGAGACAGGGCCATCACACGGGGCACCCAGGGCCACCTCCAGGCCCCCAGACAGCCCTGCGGGCAGGTGGATAGCACTCACCATGGCACTGGGGAAGGCTGGGCTTGGGACCACAGCGTGCAGCTCCGTTCCGGCAGATGCAGGCAGTGCAGGCATCGGGCTCCCAGTTGGCCCCCTCAGGCCAGGCCCTGCCCAGCGCCCAGCACTGAGGGGCCACTGGGCGGCACTCACAGGCCTCCAGCTGCCTCACCCTGGCCTGCAGGTCCTTCTTCTGCGGGAAGGAGAGGAGAGGAAGGGCTGGCCCAGCTTCCCCCACCATCTCCTGAGCATCAGCTCAAAGAGAGTCACAGTTCTCAGGGCCTGAGGTCTGGGCAGAACCTTGGGGAGCATGAAAGCGGGGCCCCTCTCTTGAGCCCCAACGGTTAGACTTCTTCCTTTATCCATCCACACTTAGATATAGCACCAACAAACAGACAAACCCAAAGCATTGCCGGCACTCAGTGCAACCCCCTGTGTGTTAGAGCAGAACTGTGAGCCACAGGGTTTTCAATGGCTGATTTTTCTCCAGGCCTTTCTTTGGAGGCACCTCTAGGTGGATTTGAACTCCCAACCTTTTGGTTAGCAGCCGCCAAGTGCTTAACTGTTTGAGTCATCCAGGGACTCTTATATACAATAGGTGCTCTGTAAGGCTTGCCAAAAGCTTGAACAAATATGAAAATCTTGGTTGACAAAACAAATACCCTGGGCGAAGGGGCTTCATTTGTATGAAAGAGCCAGTGTTGAGATCTGTTCAGATAAGAACCTCTCTGCGTGCACTAAGATTTCATTTTAGGCTCCCCAGTCTCCTCAAGCCCAACCCCTCTCTTCTTTCCCCCCACTGCAGAAAGCTCACCAGACCCCATTGCACCCCACCTGCCTCCAGTGGTACCTGCTCTCTGAGCTCCGCCACCTCAGCCTCCAGTCGTCCCAGCCACTCCTCCAGGGGGCGCCACTGCTCCTGGGGGGCTCCAGCAGGGGCTGAGGAGTGGGCAAGTGCCTGCTGCTGGTCGTCATGGATGTCAGCAAGCCTGAGGGGCTCCGTGGAGACGGCCCCACCTGAAAGGTGCAAGAATCCAGCGTGAGCCTATGGGCAAGGAGCTAGTGAGGTTCCCTGGATTCTGTTCTCTGAGCCATTCGGGGGAGAGGGCCACCCTGTGCCTACCCTCCCCACCCACCATCCGGGGAAGGAGACGAGGTCTGTGGGGGTGCTGGGGTGAAGGCTGGAGGAGGAAGCCGAGATGACAAAAGTGACCCAGACCATCTTCCCTCCTGGTCAGATGTGAGCCCCAGGGCTGCTCCAGGCCCCTCTGACCCACTGGGGAGGTGGGAGTATAGGAGAGGACCCCCACAGCCTTCCCTGACTCTGCAGGGATCGCCAGCGGGGGCAGGGAGGGGCCAGGTCATCCGCCCTCACTCTGGGAGGCCGACTGCAGGACAAGGTGATAGACACATGGCATGCAGGGTGGCTTTAAGGTCCCTGGGGGCTGGGCTGAGAGTTTTTTCAAGGAGCGTGTGAGCAGACATCACCGCCCTTCGGAGAGAGTGCGCCAGGGGGAGCAACTGTTCCCCCTGCCCCCAACCCCAAGCCTCACCACTGTTCTCAGGCCTGTGGCAGAGGATCCTGAGGACCCCTGTGTTGGGTGGGGGGTGGGCTCCAGAAAGTGGGACTTGGCTGCGTTTCCTGAAGGGTTTGGGGAGGAGCTGGGCAGTGCCCCCACATAGCTCTCAACACCCCAGGCTGGATGAAGACAGCCTGTCCCTGGCTCTGGATGAGGGAAGAGGATGCCTCTGAGTTCAAGGTCAGGCCTGGGGGTGGGGAACCATCATTTTTACCTCTCACTTTGATCCCTCTCCCGCAGTCAAGAAAGTGAACCAAAAAAAAACACACTGCCATTGAGTTTCATAGGGACGCTATAGGACAGAGTAGAACTGCCCCACAGGGTTTCCAAGGCTGTAATCTCTACAGAAGCTGACTGCTGTATCTTTCTCCTGAAGAGAGGATGGTGGGTTTGAACCACTGACCTTTTGGTTAGTAGCCAAATGCTTAACCACTGCACCAGCAGGGCTCCTTCCGGGGAAGTAAAGGCAGGAGGTAATAGGAAGACTGGAGGCGATTGGTCCCTGCAGACAGCAATCACTGTGGTGGGGGATGGGTGGGCAGCAGAGGGTCTGGAGGAGGAGGGGAGGGAGGGCTTCTCCCACAGAGGCAGCTTAGCCAGGCATGGCCAGGGCTAGCTAAGAGGGTTTCCCAGGAACACTAGGCCTATGAGGCTGGGGGACAGTGTCTCCCTCTCCACCCTCACTGCCACCACTAAGGGGTTGGATTCCAGACAAAGCTGAACTTGTCCTTCTTCTTGCAACCTGCTTTGCTCAGAGTTTTTGCGGCTGGAGACTGCCATCCCCACTCATCCAGTTGCCCAAGCCAGAAACCTGGGGCTCATCTTTCCTCTTTTGTGCCCCCAAATCCCATCAGCCTCCGGTCTCCCCCAGTTGTACCTGATTCATTCCGCTCCCAACTCTGTCTTCACTGGGAGGCTAATGGCAAAGCTTCCAGACCTCCCTCTGCTCCTCTGCCCCCAGGAGTCTTTCTGCATCACACATCTGAAGGTCCCCAGCAGCAAGTCCCAATGTGACCTTTCACAAGTGCTACCTACCTTTCAGCCTGCCCTGCTACAGCTCACCTGGTGTTCTAACACCCCAACCATACGGAGCCCGTGTGGGGGTTCCATCTTCATCCTTGCACAGGAACCCGGTCCACTGGGATGGCACTTCATCCCAACAAGATGAAGTGCCACCAAGGATGGGGTCTCAGCACCTTAACTCTCCACCCAGGTGTGACTCTCATCTGGCCTCGCCCTCCCCACCCCCCATGATCCTGCCCCGCCCCGGGCCACTCCTCCAGTCCTGCTTAAGCTATAGGGCGGATCAGACACAATAAAGGGGTTGGAGAAGCTGGAGGTCCTCTGGGACCCTCCGATAAAGACAGGAACAGTCCCTTGCCTGGGAGACCTGGAGAATGAGCTCTTGAGGTTTGCACAGGCCAGATGGCTCCCCAGGGACTGTCCTGCTCCTCTCACTGCCACCCCTACCCTGTTCCTGCCCTGACCCCTCTGTTCCAGCCTGTCCCCTTGGGGGACGGCCAGATGCAAGACTCAAAGTCGGCTCCCAACACGGGCCTCCTTTTTTCCCCCTTTCTCAAGACAAATAATTAACTTCAGATTCCAGAAGTCTCTCCCCCACGGTTGCCTGCAGGAATTCTTCCCAAAGCCAGAGCAGGAAGCCCCCTCCCTTGCCGGGACCCCTGCCCTGGCCTCCGGACTCCCCTGACATCTGACCCATCTGACCCACCGCGGCCATCTGACCCACCGTCGGGGTGGGCTGAGGCCGGCCTGAAGGGCGCCCGAGGCAGGGCTGCGACAAGAAGCCCCGGCCAGGGTCTTCTCTAAGCAAGAGGTGGGGACGCGCCCACCACCCCCAAGCCCGGGCGCCCCACTTACCCCTGCCCGGCCCCGCGGCCAGCGCCAGGCTCGCGAGCTGCAGGACGAGCGGCAGCAGGGCGTCCCTGAGCCCGGCCATGCTCATCTGTCGTCGCGACTCCGCGAGCGCGGGGGAGGCGGGGTGCGAGACACCAGGCCGCCTCCCACCAGTCTTTGTTCAGGGAGGGCGCCTGGCTTCCCTCATCCAGCCCGCGGCGCAGGCCCCCCTGATGGGCCCCCGGGCCTGGCTTTGGGCCCTTTGACCCCAGCCCAGCTCAGGGGTGCCTTGGGGGCAGCCCGAGAGCCACAGGAAGCTGGGCAGGGGTGGGGGCGACGTCTCTTGCATGCGATCCAGGAGGAGACCCTGAAAATACGAATAAACACAAATGCATCCCTCTCAGGCTCCGGGACAGCCAGTCTTCCCGCCCCACTGGGTTACCCCATGGGCCCTGGGGTTTCCCAGGTCAGCTTTTTTTCTCCCCTGCAGTTTACAAGAGAAGCAGTACTGCTGCGAAGATTGGTGTCAGAGGGGTCTGGGTTCAAATCCCTGCTCACCAATTCTGTGTCCTCAGACAAGCACTTCTTAGAGCTTCAGTAGACTGGGGCTCACAACATCCACTTTATAGACTTGCTGTGAGGCTTAACAGAGATTATATGTAAAGAATTTAGGGTAGTGGCTGGTACAGGGTAAGTAGTACCAGTGGGTGAAATCAAAGGCTAACCCAGTCTCCTCCCTTCCGTCTGGGTTTCTTTCCTGGGTTCCTCTCACCACCAGAGCAGCCCCAGGCTTGGCCCCACATGCCATGGCCTCCCTTTGCTGCTGGTCCCAGCCTCAGCCCCGTTTTCCAGCTCCTGAGCTCTGTCTGGCGTGGGGGGTGAGCCTGGGCAGTGGGGGCAAAGGGAGGAAGTGAGGACAGCTGTCCACGTGGCCCACAAGGCTGGGAAATTCATTCCTCATCTTGGCAGCTGGGAAGCAGAGGGCGGTTGGAAATGGGGCCCCAAGCTCACAAGCAAGGAGGGACTTTGAGGGCGGAGTTGTGAACCCTGCCAAAGCAGTCTCCCTCCCTGTCATAAAGGCCAGCAATTCAGAAATCCCCCTCCCGCAGCCCCCGCAGGGACTAAAGGTCTCTCCCGCCAATCTCTACGCAATTTAAGGCTCCACTAAAGAGAGGGTGGGCTGCTTCTCTCCCTACGGAGTGCGCGTGCGGGCCCCTCTTAGGAGTCTGAGAATTTGCAGAGGGGAAGGGAGAGGCAGGGGAGGCTGTGGCTGAAAACTGAGATGTGACCTCAGCTGGTCTGGGGCTGGGGTCACTGGAGCACAGGAAAGCCAGGGCCAGCTAGCCGGAAATGCCACAAGGAAGCGGCGGCTTCATTCCCACTAGGATTAAGGGAAATAACCTGTTATAAGGCAGGAGTCCCTGGGTGGCACAGAGGGTTAAGCACTCGGCTGTTAAACTAAAGGTGGTTGGTTTGAATACACCCAGAAGGGACTTAGAAGAAAGCCCTGAAGATCCATTTCTGAAACGCCACAGCCTTGGAAAACCCTGTGGAGCACAGTTCTACTCTGACCCATACGGGGTTGCTGTGAGTTGGAATCGACACTACGGCAACTGGTTTGGTTATAAGGCAGGTCCCCTGGGAGGCTGGGTGGTGAAGAGCTTAAGAACACAGGCTAGCTCAGGCCACCAGGTCAAGTCCTGGGTCCGATGCTTATTGCTGTGGGACCTTGTTGTTGTTAGCTGCTGTCAAGTCACTTTCGACTCATGGGGACCCTCTGTGTGCAGAGTAGAACTGCTCCCTAGGGTTTTCAAGGCTGTGATCTTTCAGAAACAGATCACCAGGCCTGTCTTCTGATGTGCCTGTGGGTGGGTTTGAACTGCCAACCTTTGGGTTAATAGTCCAGGGCTTGACCATTTGCACTACCCAGGGCTCCTTGTGTGACCTTAGGCAAGTCGTTTAACTTCTTGGTAACTCATTTTCCTTAACTGTGACATGTCAATCTCACTGCACCCCCTCAGAGCGTGTTTGTGGGGATTAAATAAATCGATGCGTGTGGACAGCACAGGCCCCTAGGGATGAGCTCATCATTTCTCTTATGTTATCTCTAATCACCACCCCAATCGCACAAGGTGGGGGTACCATTAGCCCTACTGTACGGATGAGGAAGCTGAGAGAAGCAGGGTCACCTGCGCAAGGTCACACTGGGAATCAATCATGTGACCTGGATTCAATGCCAGTCCTTGGAACCCCAGGACCTGGCCAGGCCTGACCACATGTCCACAAAGCCTAGCCCCACTCCTGGCACAACCCTCTCCACCTCCCTGCCTCTGAGAGAGGATTTGCGAGCTTCCAGCGGCCTCTGAGGTCATTCTCTCCTAGAGTCAAAGATGGAGAATTAGTCAGGACTTGCCTCCTCATTCCTCACTCCCTGTAAACTTTATCATCACCAGGAGCCCACTGCTCTGTACTTGTTGTTGTTAGGTGTCGTTGAGTCAGTTCCGACTCACAGAGACCCTATGTACAACAGAATGAAATACTGCCAGGTCCTGTGCCATCCTCACAATCTTCACTATGCTTGAGCCCATTGTTGCAGCCACTATCACAATCCATCTGGTAGAGAGTCTTCCTCTTTTTTGATGAATGTCATGGCTTGAATTGTGTCCCCCCAAAATATATGTATCAATTTGCATAGGCCATAATTCCCAGTATTGTGTGATTGTCCACCATTTTGTCATCTGATGTGATTTTCCTGTCTTGTAAATCCTATCTCTATGATGTTGATGAGATGGGATTAGTGGCAGTTATGTTAATGAGGCAGGACTCAATCTACAAGATTGGATTGTGTTTTGAGCCAATCTCTTTTGAGATATAAAAAAGAGAAGTGAGCAGAGACTTGGGGACCTCATACCACTGAGAAACTAGAGCCAGGAGAATAGCGCCTCCTTTGGACCCAGGGTGTCTGTGCTGAGAAGTTTCTAGATCAGGTGAAGATTGATGACAAAGGCCTTCCCCTAGAGCCGACAGAGAGAGAAAGCCTTCCCCTGGAGCTGACACCCTGAATTTGGACTTCTAACCTCCTAGACTGTAAGAGAATAAATTTCTCTTTGTTAAAGCCATCCACTTGTGGTATTTGTGTTATAGCAGTACTAGAGAACAAAGACAGAATTCGATACCAGGAGTGGGGTACTGTGGAAGAAGTTTTGAAACTGTGAATGGATAGAGGCTGGAAGAATGCCTAACAGTAAAAGCCTAGATAGCCTAGAAGAGACTGTTGGTGGAATTATGGATGTCAAAGACAGTTCTGATGAGGACTCAGAAGGAAGTGAGCAGTGACGTAACATCTGACACAGAGCAAACTCTGAAAAGCAGCAGAGAAATGGCAGCAGTAGAGAACTGGCAGTAGCAAAGAACCAGCAGCAGCAGCAGAGAAACAGCAGCAGCTGAACCAGGACACCAGCACCAGACAGCACTGGAGGTGACCCATGAGCAAGAGTGCTGAGTGTCTTTGCATAGGAGGCTTCCTAGCGGAGTGGGGTACCTTGGAGCACTTATCGGTGGAGCTAGGCTTGCCGACCCAGGGAGCAAGAGAGCTGAGTGCCTTCCAGCTGAAATTCACTGGTGGAATGAGATGCCTCCAGGCACTTATTGGTAGAACTACAGAACTTTGGGACACTTGCCCCAGGAGGGCAGACGCGGACAGTGAGGCCTGAGAGGCCAAGAGGCCAAGAAACCAGGAAACAGAAGCTGAAGAGACAAGGAACACAGGGAACAGAGCTGCCTCAGTCTCAAAGGGTATGGCCATGACCTCTGGGGTCTCAAAGGGTGGAGCCATGGCCTCAGGTGTTTCTAAGGGTGGAGTTGCCACTCAGATGGACTCGGAGAATGGTACGCCGAAAGCCACTTCACAAAGCATGATGTCCTCCAGGGACTGGTTCCACCTGATGATGTGTTCAAAGTATGTGAAACAAAGTCTCGCCGTCCTTGCTTCTAAGGAGCATTCTGGCTGTACTTCTTCCAAGAAAGATTTTTTCGTTCTTCTGCCAGTCCATGGTATATTCAATATTCTTCGCCAACACCATAATTCAAAGACATCAATTCTTCTTCGATCTTCCTTATGCATTGTCCAGCTTTCGCATACATATGAGGTGATTGAAAATACCACGGCTTGGGTCAGGCATGCCTTAGTCTCAAAGTGACGTCCTTACTTTTCAACCCTTTAAAGAAGTCTTTTGCAGCACACTGGCCCAAGGAAATACATTGTCTGGTTTCTTGACTGCTGCTTCCATGGGCACTGATTGTGGATCCAAGTAAAATGAAACCCTTGACAACTTCAATCTTTCTCCATTTATCATGATGTTGTTTATTGGTCCAGTTGTGAGTATTTTTGTTTTCTTTATGTTGAGGTGCAATCCATACTCAAGGCTGTAGTCTTTGATCTTTATCAGCAAGTGCTTCAAGTATTCTTCACTTTCAGCAAGCAAGGTTGTGTCATCTGCACATCGCAGGTTGTTAATGACTCTTCCTCCAATCCTGATGCCCCATTCTTCTTCATATAGTCCAGATTCTTGGACTATTTGCTCAGCATACAGACTGAATAAGTATGGTGAAAGGATACAACCCTGATGCACAACTTTCTTGACTTTAAACCATGCAGTATACCCTTGTTCTGTTCTAATGACTGCTTCTTGGTCTATGTACAGGTTCTGCAAGAGCACAATTAAGTGTTCTGGAATTCAATTCCTATTCTTAGCAATGTTATCCGTAATTCGTTGTAATCCACACAGTCAAATGCCTTTGCATAGTTAATAAAACACAGGTAAACATCTTTCTGGTATTCTCTGTATTCAGCTAAGATCCATCTGACATCAGCAATCATATCCCTCCTTCCACATCCTCTTCTCAGTCTGGCTTGAACTTCTGGCAGTTCTATGTTGATGTACTTCTGCAACCACTTTTGAATGATCTTCAGCAAAATTTTACTTGTGTGCGATATTAATGATGTTATTCGATAATTTCCATTCTGTTGGATCACCTTTCTTTGGAAACATGGATCTCTTCCGGTTGGTTGGGCAGTTAGCTGTCTTCCAAATTTTTTGGCAT